TTCCTACGCACCGTTTTGAAAGTAAACACGTACGCCACATTAATAAAACCTGGGGAATTCCCGCAAATTATAGTTTGGGAAAAGCGGAGGCTAACTAACGACATAGACTGTGAATGCGGGGCAAAAATGAAATGCAACGCAATAAGGTTTGCGCCACTTGCGTAATTTGTGCAACAAAGTTGAGGCGCATGAACTAATGAACGTACTAGAAGAATTCGCATTTCCCCGCCCATTACTCATTTTACAGTTGTGCCCGCCAGTTGGCGCCACATTTGCCATAAAACTATAAACAAAGGAACGTTAAAAAAGCAAATAGAAATTATATAAGCCAGATAACTTCGGGGAATCGAAAGGCTTAAAGCGTTAAAGAAATTCTATCCCAACTGTTTGTTTTCTAAAGAAATCTACAGAACTCCTGGTATCATAAACAAATGTTGTTATACTTGGATTGCAATTTGAGTTATTGGTGAAATATGATGCACATATTTGTGTAAAAAATAAGAAGAGGGAAGAAACCGAATTGCTTACTGTTTTTCAGACAGCTAAAGATATTTATAGAATACTGTAGTATTGATCCTAAATAAATAAATAGATAATCCATATCTAGATATATAACCTCTAATTGGTGGTAATGATTTTCTTGATAATATTATAAAATATTTAAAAATGAGATATTTTTGATTTATTTGAGGATTTATTTTATAAAGCATTGCAATATTAATCTTTAATAGTTAAACAAATAAATAGTAAAGTAAATAAATAATAACAATGGTTCGTATGAATATTCAAATGATTTTTTTATGGCTATTTTCAAATATTTGCATATGAGATACTTTGGATTTATTTACGGATTTATCTAATAAAATATTGTACTATTGATCTAAACTAGTTCAACAAATAATCCGTGTTAAAATATATAATCTCCAATGATTTTTTCATGGTATTCTAAAATATATGTAGATGAGATACTTTGGATTTGTTTGCGGATTCATCTTAACGGTTTCTTTTATACTATCGTTCAGTAGTAGTTTCGCCTTCCTCATCCTCCTCCTTCTCCTTTTTCTCTCTTTTGCCCTGTCCCAAAAACTGATGTACACAAAAATCATGTGTTTTTCATAAACAAGCCGTAGCGCTCTGTCTCGCTCGCACACCCCGTTGCGCCCTCTCTCTTTCGCTCGCAGGTTGCCAATAATGCCGCATGCAAAAAGCGAAAGAAAAAAACAGTGTGGAAACGAAACGAAAACAAAATGAAACGTTTTGGCATACGAAACGAAACACACAGAGCCATCGCCCAAAAATTTGCGCAGCAGATTTGAAGCCATGTGCTGGTATTAGTTTCCATTTCATTTTTTTCGCAAATTTGCAGCGGGTTTTCAGCTTTAGCTTTTGTGTATATGTTTTTTCAATGAAACGTGTGTGGTAGTAAAAAATGTGTGTGGCGGCATCTGTACTTTTGTGCTCTCCCTCTCTCTCTCAGCAAGCTTTTGCCTTTGAGTGCAACTCAAATGGGGGGTCTCTCTCTCTCTCTCTGTGTTGCCTATGTACTTGGATTAAATGGGGAGCGGCTCTTATAAAACTGCAGCGAGAGCGAGATGGAGTATGAAGGAAAGAGTTGTGTACACACTCTCCAGCTCTGTCTCTTGGATTGCTCCTCTTTTCCAGTCGAGTGGGGTAAAAACGGAAATGACGCCACACAACAACAACACAACGGCCGCAACACATGGCTTTCATTGTATTCGCAAATGTGCAACGGATGGAATGGAGAGAGAGGAGAGCAGAGTGGAGACTTTTAGCCAAGGCATGCTCTTTTATTTTAGCACCAACAACAAGCGGACAGCAGCTGCTAAAACGCAGTTGTTATACCGCCCACACTGGTGGCCAAAATAACAGTGTAACCCACGTTTTTTGCCTTTTTTTAACAGTTATCTGCGGACTGCATGTGTTTCAAAAAATGATTTCTATTTAAAGTAAACTAGTTAAATATGTTGTTGAAGGTTGTATTTTTTGCTTTTAGACGAGAATTTAAATAACTTATTTTATTCAGCTAACTATAAAGTGATAATCAAAATTAAAAATCAGCACCAAATACATTTGGTGTTGTGCCGAAATAAGTATATGTATATAATAAACAGAAATAAAAACCTTGAAAAGCCAGCTGAAATGGATTGGTGTATGTGCTCTCATATATATATATTTCCGATTCTTTGTGGTTGTGCAAAAACATATGCTTGGCGATAAGAAAAGGCGCCGCTTATGACGTGTGAAAAAGCGAAAAGCGCAACCATATGATTCTGATAAGCCGGCAAGGGAAAAATAAACTTTCGCTGCGAAAACATGACAAATATTCGAGAAACAATAAAGATCGAAAGAAAGGCAAGGAAGAAAATAAGAAATTCAAACTGTACAATTTCTCAGGCCATTTATTTTCCACATTTCTCAGGTACACGGAAAAAAGAAGATCAGATGTTTAATCATTTTGATAAATAAATAACAAACAAATAAATACTTCACAAGAAAAATGATGTAAAATCCTAAACTGAGATATTTGCTCTCAAAATAGTTTTACTATGATCAAACCGATCATCAATATCACAACCATTTTTCTTTTTGTGTACAAAGGAAGAGAGAGAGAAGAGTGTAAATAAAAGCAAAGCAAAACCATCTGATGATACGAATATACCGGTACAGCTGATTTCATTTCAACTATGAACACGAAAGAAGAAGAACTAGAAATGTTGATTAGGCAATGCACGATAAGCGAAGGAGAGAGAAAGAGAGAGGGAGTGCGGGTGCGCCGCAGCTGTTTTTTACCTCCGTTAATTCGAACATGTGAGCTAGCGCAAATTGGCAGCTGAGCGCGAGAGCCGGAGAACGGGAAAGAGGCAGAGGAGAGGCGAGGAGCGAAGAGAGCAAACGCGATCAACAGCTAAAAAAAATAGCAAAAGCAGCTGTAACAATTAGACCAAATATTTGAGGAAAGGAAATGGTGAAAATAAAAACATAGTAGGCAGTAAAACATTTACAAGGGGATCGTTAGAAACATCTTTATATATATATTCTTTAGCTTAAAATCTGTTCTAAAAAATAAAAATTTTCAACATTTCAAAAGAAAAGATTATTCAAAAGTTTTCATAAGTCATGGTAAGAATGACTTAAGTTGTGATTAATTTTTGAATTTCTTTCGTCATGATAAGAAAATAATCTCAAAATAACCCTTTATTCTGGGACTCTGAAGAACCAAATACAAAAAAAAACACTTTATCCGTTTTTAAAACCATTAAAATTAAGCATTTTCAAATTTGGTTGAGTATCATATCAAATTCACTATTTGGTTATTATTATTCTATAGCATTTTTGATGTAAGATTTAAATTTTTAAGACCGCCCAAGTTGCTTCCTATTTTTTTTCCTATAAGCTGAAGTTAAGATATACTCATACCTATAATCAAAATATATTTTTCAATTGTGTTGCAATTTATTATAATTTTTAAAATCCCCTCTTTCCCAAGCAGCTGTGCCCATGACTAATATTTGTGCCGGCAGTGTTTCCCGTCTGCCGACGCTGCTGACAAATTGACAAAACAGCCGTTTTACAATATGGACGACCAAAGGCAGAGCGTGAAAACACGAGAGGAGAGCGGCAGGAAAAGAGAGCGAGGAGAGGAAGAGGACAGCAGACACGAAAGATGGGAGAAAAAAAAGAAGCGTCACATTTATTCCAGCAACAAGAAAACGGCATGGAAGTGGAAATGGAATGCGACATGCGCTAGTGTGCGTGCGTGTGTGTGTGAGGGGAGCCTTAATGGTGGTGGTGTTTTTGTGCCGTATTTGTTTTGTCGGCAAAACGGCGGCAAAAAGCAAACGAGAGAAAGAGAGAGGGCGAGCGAGCACACTGAGAGCGCACTAGCAAGTAGTAAAAATAATCAATAATTTGCGTGATAAAAATGCAAGCCAAGCTGTTGACTCGCAGCCGCGTTGTTGTTTCTGTCCCTTTCTTTGGCACTGGCCAACACTGATATTTGTAAATACTTTTTTTTTTTTCAAGCCAAACTTACTGCAATTCCTCATCCAATTCCTCGGCGCTGTTGTATTCGGCGTGCTCTAGAATAACCTCCTCCGTTTTGATGGCAACCGGTACGGCGGACATGTTTAATCGTGTTTGTGTGTTTGCTTACTATCGTGGCCGAAAATGTCTGCGCCACGTGCGTTTTGTTGTTGCTGCCGCTGCTGTACGACTACATAAACATAAACATTTGCAATTTATTTATAGCCTTTATTTGTAGCCTTTTGCCTCTATTGTATTTCGCACACACACATGTGTCAGCTGGTCTCAGCTGCTTTTTGTATTTAGCGGCAAATCGTTTGCCCCGTCTCACTCGCACTCGCACACACTAGCACTACACCACGACACACGCACACACCACAAGGGAAAGAGAGAGAGAGAGATGGAGAGGAAGAGCGACTTTTAGCGCGTCCAGAAGTTTTCTTTTCACTCGGCACTCTTTGATTTTGCCCTCCACGAGCTGAGATTTGTGTATTTTATTTCGCAGCTGTTTTTTGTTTGACCCGCACTGGCCGCGCGACTAATGAATATGTGTACACGGCGAATTGGTGCACTGTACGCTGTTTTCCGATCGAAAGGCGATTTACCGTCCGTCCGTTGCGTGCATTCGATTCGGTGAAAAACTGCAGAGTGACCGCGCGTGGCGGTGGCGAAAAGGTCGCAGCGATTTTGTGGGCATTTTTAGGTTCTGGCTCGCTTTGCTGCTTTTCAGCCCTGGACCGGGTAGCTTCCAGCGTTTTGCAACACTGTTTTCCGTTATTTTTTGAATAAAATAAATATTTACATCATGATACTTTTTTCATCTGACATAACGAATATCGCTGTGAGAAAACCGCTCTGAAATTAAAAAAGAATCAGCACGAAAAATTCAGAATGCACAGCTCTAGTTTCCCAACTCAACTGCTTAGAGGGCGCTCCTTTCTCAATCCAGTTTCCCTTTTCACCACACCCTTTTCCGACAAGAAGGCCGTCTCTAAGCCTCAGGAGCTGCCCAAACGTCCGGCCAAGCGAACCCGTGGATCCATGTCCAATGAGTCCATCAGCCCCTCGACAACTCCGCCTCGTTGGAGCCGTTCTCGCTGTCCTGCGCCACGCCTTCGGTGGCCTGCATGTTGTCCAGGAGCGACTTCAGGAGGCGTCTGTTCAAATGGTCGGTCTGCGTCAGTTCCCGGACAGCCTGGGGCGGAGCATCTGCATCTGCGTCCGCCGGCGCCGTGGTGTTCCCAACTGGAGTTGAAACAGTTTTAAGCGAACTGCTTGCGCACAGGGTCACACTAGATGTGCTCAGCTGATTGCGATGGGCAGTTATCGGTTTCGGTTTACCTATCAACATTTGAAAGTTTTTCTCAAAGAACAAAGAATTAAATATTAAATAAATTTTAATTTTTAAAAACTATTTAAATATGTGTATCATCCTCTAGCTTATCATCCTATGGTTTTCTATAGTCCGAAATTCGCAAATTTTAATTTAAGTTACTTTCAGTCGGAACTCAAAGTAGATATTATTGCCAACAATCTTTATATATTTTACAAAGGAAAATAATTATATCATATATTTTATGTACCTTTAAGCGAATAATCTTTTAAGGGAATAATCTTTAGTGCTAACAAATTGACCGATGCTGTAGCCTCCTGTATTTCCAATTGCGTTACCAAGCAATCATGTGATTAAATTTATATGACTTAGCAGTAACTACAAGGCAATCACAACTCATAAAAAATATAACGTTATACAGTTTACTTCGTGTTTTTATACATGTATATTATATTTCTAGGAATTCACAGTCGAGTAATGATTACATCTCATCAAATAATGTCGCCAAGTTTACAAAACTCTGGTATTAAAATCTATTTCTTAGCAGTAGCTCCATGAGCAGAGCCCTTGCTAATTTTGAAAGCATTGACAGCGCATTCCATGAGGCCATAGACTGAAAATAAAGTATACCAAATTATGTTAAGTTCTTTTAAAGTACATTATCGCAACTTACATCCTCCCAAGATGGATATGACGGTGATGAAGCCAGTCCAGTTGCCTGCAACCAGTGAGGTGACCAAGTAGTTCAAAATACAAAGGACCGATACAGTGGCCCAGCCCAAAAAGTTCAGCAGGGAGGCCAGGCGCGGTTTGTAGATCTTCTCGGGAACCTCCTTGACTCCGGAATTCTTGAAGAAGCTACCGGTTTCATGGAAACTGTCGATGATCTTGTCCTTCTCCGCAAAGAAGTCCAGCATAAAGGCAGCGGCCTCCTTTTCACCATCTGGAACTGGAATCCAGTGGCACTCGTCGAATGTACATGTAGGGCTCCACGGGCTCACCATTCAACTGGGACAGCATGGTGGGTCTTGGCTATAAGTATTGGAAATTTAAAGTTGGTTAGGACTTTGTTTATCCTTTTAAATGTTTAAATTGAACTATTTTCTGCAATATAAAATTATTACTTTGGATTTTTCAATGGAACTTAAGTTGCGGTCGAAGTTGCGGTCGAAGTTGGTGATCATCCAAGCGGTTAGCCAGTCAATCTCGTACGTGTGATTCATCAGCAACAGTCCGTGCTCCTTGCCAAAGAACCTTTTCTCGTCCTCGGGATCAATGTAGACATGCAGTTTGCTGCCTGCATACCATTCCGCCACACAGACTAGGACTAAGAAGGGAGAACATTTAAAAAATATATTAAAATACTTATAAAATTCCTGATTTCTATGTATCTACATTAATATACTTGTTTTAAACTCAATTTCATGTTTTAATAAGGGTTTATAAGCTTCATGCTCTTTTGTTAAATGATCTTATTAGAAAACTTTAAACGGAAATGTGACAAAAACCAAAACATTTTTTAAAATTATATATTTTATACTTGGTATACTTACTTGCTGTAGAAAGAGTAATGGAGGTAGTACATAAGACTTCTAGAGAGTCGCTTGTCGAAGGGTCTCACAAGAATAATCAGCAAAAGCTGTCCAATGTTGACGAAGATTCCGCACGTGAAGAAGGTCACGGCGATTAGTAGTCGCCCCAATCCCTTGAGATGAGACATCCTATGCTAAAAATAAAAAATGCCAATAAAATCAATGAAATTCATGTTCTGCAATGCAGTTAATAAATATGTCCAGGGATCCTGGCTCCTCTATCATACATTGATCCTGAAAAGAAAGGAAACAAAGATGCTCTTTTCCACACCACCTTGGAGGTAGAGGTGTAGGCGCGTTTTTTTTATAGTCGTATCCCCAAGAGGCCTAATCGACTTTGTAACACATTTACATTTTGAGAAAGTAAAATAAAATAAAAATGTTAGTTTCAAATCAAAAACTAAAATAAAATGAGTATTATATGAAATACATATTAAACTATATTAAACTATATAATATACTACTACTTTACTATGCTATATAAATCATCCATCCGTTTGCGTGCTCTGGTCTTTCCTAGTTGGTCCAGCTTCATCGTTAACTCCCTTTAATATGTCAACTCGAAATTCCAATGCCGCAAAGGACGCCCAGATCCGTGGGTAAAATTCCGCACCTTGGGACTCGAGTTGATTTCTCGTTATTTTAAGGTCCTCCAAAGCTGATTTAAGGCCAATCCTCCACCTCTGGCCTACTGACTCGAGGGTATCGTTTTTCAAATAGCGGGCCTGGAATAGAACATCTGGCCCTGGCGAGACGTTAAAAAATCTAGATGTTGCTATCTGAAGATTAGAAATTTCTGTTTTTAAAGTGTCCCTAAAATAAGATGGCGTGGTAGTCTCATTCAAATCAAAAAATTTTTTAAAAACGTCTTTGAAACTATCTTTGAAGAGTGGTTTTGTATACAAGTCTCCTAATAAGACTTCTGTAAACGAAACATTTGTTATTGCTTTTAAATGATTATAATCCCAAAGTCTTGGGACTTGAGAATCTACCCTTTTAGCATTAATTGGATTGTTGTCAGAAATAACCGCCAGCAAGAGATGACTAACATTTTTATCTTTTAAAAAGTTAATAATTAAATTTAACACATTGTTAATACGTTCGCCCGTATTTCGAAGGACAACTTCAATAAATACTATTTGAAAGTGAGACCCATCGAAGGTCTGCATGGCGTAGGTGGATGCCCTGTAACTTATTTCAGTCTCTGGAATCTGAGAAAATGGTTGATTCAAATCAATATATGGTTATAACATATATGTGGGCGGAAGACATTATGGGCGTTATGGGCGCTTCCTTCTGCCTGTTACATACTTTCCGCCGAATCCAATATACCCATACCCTTTCCTCCGAGTAACGGGTATAACTACACTACTATCTTAAAACAAATAAAAACTTACCTTCGGTAGCCATAGCTCGTCGACCAGGAGGCTGAAGGGCTTCGTCCAATCCCACCTGGCGTTCAGGCTTCCCAGTAGAGAGACGGATCCTTTGCTAATCTTTTCATTAGCCCAAGATAGTGTAGCCGCCGACACCTCTTCTATCCGGCGCCCATTAGGCAGCTGTAAATGATTAAAAAATTTAACGGCATGTAATACCTGCATTGCATCAATATCTGGAACATCAACATTACCAGATTCTAGGAGCTCGTAAGCTTCATCCAAGTCCATCTCGTCCCGCTTGCAAAATTGTAAACAAAAAGAAAGCCATGCCAGTGTTGGGAAGGATGATAGAAAACTACTGTTTATTTTGCTAAAGTACCTATCGGAAATCGACTTTGAATTTGCAGATTAAGTGAACAATAGAATTTCTATTCTATTCTTCAAAAATAATGAATTCTTTTAAATACTTTGTTTTTTCCATTGACTTTTGCGAATCAAGCTAATCAGTTGATGGTGAGTCGCCAATGATAAGCTTGAAAACCCGATACCGATAGAAAATAATAAAACCAGTGTGCAAAAATAATTGGAAATTTGCTGGAAACAATTTGTTGTACAGATACAGAGTTATATTTTTCTAATATGGATTTAAAGTACCACAACAAAGATGTTGTGCTAGAGATCAAGGGATCGGAGGCGCTCTTCCTCAACACCTCCATTTTGGACGTGTTGAAGTCCTTGAAGGAATTGTCCGAGCCAGCCGGAGATGCAAATTCTGGCCGTGTCCCCAAGAGACGGAGGGAAGAAGAAGAAGAGGTAGGGCCACATTTGTATACCCTTGCAGAGGGTATTATGATTTCAGTCAGAAGTTTGCACCTCATAAAGTATATATATTCTTGATCAGCATAATATAACCTCCTACGCCTGGAAATACAATTTTTAATTAGTTCTGGATTTCGATTTAAATTGTATCAAAACCGGACGACTGTCAAAGAAACGGTCTGAGAATTAATGAAATAATTATTTTTAATAAATTGTGCTTTGATTTTGATCGTATTTTCTTTAAGTCTGGGATATAGAATATTTTATAGTCTTTTCTTATATATTTAATTTTACATATGTATTTGATTGCATTCCAGCCTAAGACACCCGAAAAAAAACGACGGGAACTATTCGACGACGTGGGCTTCGAGCAATCGAACTCATTCGAGGAGCTGGAGGCCAGTGGCTCCAGCCAGTCACCACTCTATCCTCACTCAACATTCGAGGAGCTGGAGGCCAGTGGCTCCAGCCAGTCACCACTCCATCCTCACTCATCGTTCGAGGAGCTGGAGGCCAGTTCAACAACTCTCCATGGCTCACCCGAGACCCTCGCCCACTCGTCGCCGTTGCAGCCTCTGAGCCACAGTAAGCTCATTCCTATTACTCCATGAGTATGTACAATCTTCCTTATTTTTCAGTACGCAACATCGAGGACCTAAGGGCAGGCGAGGTCTCATGGTTCCCACAAGCCAAGACATGGGGTCTAAACGTGGATGAGATACGCATGCTCTACCGGGACAAACTAGAGAGGGTGCATGACTGCTTGGAGTGCGGCGTCATCCTCCACAGCCACAAAGCCCTAGTAGAACACGAGAAGTTGGACGACCACGTCCAGGAAAAGGAGAGGATCGATAAGTTCTTTAATTCGAATGCAAAATCTTTGTGTCCAATCTGTGGAGCTAAGGCTCAAAACAAAACGAAGCTGAGGAACCACGTCATCAGCCACTTCCATTGGACCTTTAGTTGCGAAGAGTGTACCAAGTTGTTTTGCTCTATCAGGAGCTACAGGGACCATCGACATCCGCCAATTACAAACGAAAAAAAATATGCCTGCGAGTGTGGCTGCACTTTCGTCGAGCAGCGCAACTTAAGACTGCACAAGTCCAGCTCGATTCATAAGAAAATAATGGTAAGTGGATATATATATTGTATATTATTTGGTTATAACTTTCCATTTCCTTATACAGGCCTTTATAAACCCCCAAGACGCAGAGCCGATCGCGGAGCCGGAGACCGTTGGCGATATAATGGGTCTCATAATGGACGAGTCCTTCCCTGACTTGTTCCAATAAACATATATATATAATACATTCATTATCTACTTTTGTTTTGGATTGCGGACATAATGGGCCTTATCGACAATCTTGCCATTTGGATAAGGGGCTAATTTTGAATTTGATTTTAAAAAAATTATTGCTTTATCTACTTTAAGACCTTTAGGTTTAATAATTTAGCTTTATGTGGGACAGCCTGGGGCGGAGCATCTGCATCTGCATCCGCTGGCGCCGTGGTGTTCCCAACTGGAGTCGGTGTCTCGCCCATGGCTTTAATGTGCTCCAAAACAGGCATATTTTGCATTTAATCCGACCGATTCCCCGAGTAGAGGTGGAGAAACATCGATGCTAACATCGATGTCATCGATGTTCTCGAAACATCGCTAACATCGATGTTTGGCAGGGAATCATCGATGTTTTTCCATCTCTACTGCGCGGTGCGAAACAAAGTCGTATAAAATGTAAGTACTAAACTAAACTATTTTTTTTAATTTCGGACTTTATTTAAAGTTAAAATAAAGCTTAAATCAAATAGAAACACTCGTGCAATTAATTTTTTTTTTTTTTAAAACATCGATGTTTTATTGATGTTTTCGCCAAAAACATCGAAAACATCGATGTCAGCCAACATCGATGTTTCTCCACCATGGCTTTAATGTGACCGACTGGTACAGTGGGCATTCTATTATATGAGCACCAATAAACTAAAAAACTATAATTCTTATCTTACCCGACGTTATAAAATGGGATAATAGGTTTTTGTAAAAGAATTACACAACTTATACTTTTATATCTCTTATATTAAGTAATATATTATTTCTTAGGTTCACATTTCGATACAGTACTGTTTACACCTATACACTCACCTATCTTTGTGGGATCTTGACAAATTGGAGGCCAGGAAGTTGCAAGTTGTTCTACCAACCAGTAGACGTCGACTGAATGAAATTTACTCTTCTAGTCGTCCGGGCCCCTAGTGATATGGATCTGCGTCGATAGTACACCCCAGAAACCTATAACTAACACTTTTAATCACCTGTTATCAGTTATAGGAAACCCGGGGTTACCTATAACTGACGGAACACTGTAGGGATCCTGGCACCTCTATCACGAAAAGAAAGGAAACAAAGATGCTCTTTTCCACACCACCTTGGAGGTAGAGGTGTAGGCGCGTTTTTTTTATAGTCGTATCCCCAAGAGGCCTAATCGACTTCGTAACACATTTACATTTAGAGAAAGTAAAATAAAATAAAAATGTTAGTTTCATTTCAAAAACTAAAATACAATGAGTATTATATGAAATACATATTAAACTATATTAAACTATATAATATACTACTACTTTACTATACTATATAAATCATTCATCCGTTTGCGTGCTCTGGTCTTTCCTAGTTGGTCCAGTTTCATCGTTAACTCCCTTTAATATGTCAACTCGAAATTCCAATGCCGCAAAGGACGCCCAGATCCGTGGGTAAAATTCCGCATTTTGGGACTCGAGTTGATTTCTCGTTATTTTAAGGTCCTCCAAAGCTGATTTAAGGCTAATCCTCCACCTCTGGCCTACTGACTCGAGGGTATCGTTTTTCAAATAGCGGGCCTGGAATAGAACATCTGGCCCTGGCGAGACGTTAAAAAATCTAGAGGTGGCTAGCTGAAGATTAAAAATTTCTGTTTTTAAAGTGTCTCTAAAATAAGATGGCGTGGTAGTCTCATTCAAATCAAAAAATTTATTAAAAACGTCTTTGAAACTATTTTTGAAGAGTGGTTTTGTATACAAGTCTCCTAATAAGACTTCTGTAAATGAAACATTTGTAATTGCTTTTAAATGATTATAATCCCAAAGTCTTGGGTCTTGAGAATCTACCCTTTTAGCATTAATTGGATTGTTGTCAGAAATAACCGCCAGCAAGAGATGACTAACATTTTTATCTTTTAAAAAGTTAATAATTAAATTTAACACATTATTAATACGTTCGCCCGTATTTTGAAGGACAACTTCAATAAATACTATTTGAAAGTGAGACCCATCGAAGGTCTGCATGGCGTAGGTGGATGCCCTGTAATTTATTTCAGTCTCTGGAATCTGAGAAAATGGTTGATTCAAATCAAGAGAATAAAATAATATACGAGAAGAACGCTATAGTCGAGTGCCTCGACTATCAGATACCCGTCACTCAGCTAAAGGGACCTAAGGGAGATGGAGATATATATATATATGGTTATAACATATATGTGGGCGGAAGACATTATGGGCGTTATGGGCGCTTCCTTCTGCCTGTTACATACTTACCGACGAATCCAATATACCCATACCCTTTCCTCCGAGTAACGGGTATAACTACACTACTATCTTAAAACAAATAAAAACTTACCTTCGGTAGCCATAGCTCGTCGACCAGGAGGCTGAAGGGCTTCGTCCAATCCCACCTGGCGTTCAGGCTTCCCAGTAGAGAGACGGATCCTTTGCTAATCTTTTCATTAGCCCAAGATAGTGTAGCCGCCGACACCTCTTCTATCCGGCGCCCATTAGGCAGCTGTAAATGATTAAAAAATTTAACGGCATGTAATACCTGCATTGCATCAATATCTGGAACATCAACATTACCAGATTCTAGGAGCTCGTAAGCTTCATCCAAGTCCATCTCGTCCCGCTTGCAAAATTGTAAACAAAAAGAAAGCCATGCCAGTGTTGGGAAGGATGATAGAAAACTACTGTTTATTTTGCTAAAGTACCTATCGGAAATCGACTTTGAATTTGCAGATTAAGTGAACAATAGAATTTCTATTCTATTCTTCAAAAATAATGAATTCTTTTAAATACTTTGTTTTTTCCATTGACTTTTGCGAATCAAGCTAATCAGTTGATGGTGAGTCGCCAATGATAAGCTTGAAAACCCGATACCGATAGAAAATAATAAAACCAGTGCGCAAAACTAATTGGAAATTTGCGAGTTGGAAACAATTGGTTCTATTGTTCTAACAAAGTTCTATTTTTCTAATGTGGATTTTAAATACCATAACAAAGATGTTGTGCTCGAGATCAAGGGATCGGACGCGCTCTTTCACAACACCTCCATTTTGGACGTTTTGAAGTCTCTAAAGGAATTGTCCGAGCCAGCCGGAGATGCAAATTCTGGCCATGTACCCAAGAGACGGAGGGAAGAAGAAGAGGTAGGGCCACATTTGTATACCCTTGCAGAGGGTATTATGATTTCAGTCAGAAGTTTGCACCCCATAAAGTATATATATTCTTGATCAGCATAATATAACCTCCTACGCCTGGAAATACAATTTTTAATTAGCTCTGGATTTCGATTTAAATTGTATCAAAACCGGACGACTACATCATACAGCTGTCAAAGAAACGGTCTGAGAATTAATGAAATAATAATTTTTAAAAAATTGTGCTTTGATTTTGATCGTATTTTCTTTAACTCTGGGATATAGAATATTTTATAGAGTCTTTTCTTATATATTTAATTTTACATATGTATTTGATTGCATTCCAGCCTAAGACACCCGAAAAAAAAGGACGGAAACTAAGTTTCGACGACGTGGGCTTCGAGCAATCGAACTCATTCGAGGAGCTGGAGGCCAGTGGCTCCAGCCAGTCACCACTCCATCCTCACTCATCATTCGAGGAGCTGGAGGCCAGTGGCTCCAGCCAGTCACCACTCCATCCTCACTCATCATTCGAGGAGCTGGAGGCCAGTGGCTCCAGCCAAACAACTCTCCATCCTCAGTCACCCTTCGAGGAGCTGGAGGCCAGTGGCTCCAGCGAAACAACATTCCATCTTCAGTCACCCTTCGAGGAGCTGGAGGCCAGTGGCTCCAGCGAAACAACTTTCCATCCTCAGTCACCCTTCGAGGAGCTGGAAGCCAGTGGCTCCAGCTCAACAACTCTCCATGGCTCACCCGAGACCCTCGCCCACTCGTCGCCGTTGCAGCCTCTGAGCCACAGTAAGCTCATTCCTATTACTCCATGAGTATGTACAATCTTCCTTATTTTCCAGTACGAAACACCGAGGACCTAAAGGCAGGCGAGGTCTCATGGTTCCCACAAGCCAAGACATGGAGACTAAACGTGGATGAGATCCGCAAGGTCTACCGGGACAGGCTAGAGAGGGTTCATGACTGCTTGGAGTGCGGCGTCATCCTCCACAGCCACAAAGCCCTAGCCGAGCATGAGAAGTTGGACGACCACGTCCAGGAAAAGGAGCGAATCGAAAATTTTTTTAATTCCAAGGTAAAATCTATGTGTCCAATCTGTGGAGCTAAAGCTGGAAACAAAACGAAGTTGAGGAACCACGTGATCAGCACTTCCGGTGGACCTTTGATTGCAAAAAGTGTCCGAAGTTGTTTTGCTCAATCAGGAGCTACAGGGACCATCGACATCCGCCAGTTTCAAAGGAAGAAAAATATGCCTGCGAGTGTATATATTGTATATTATTTGGTTATAACTTTCCATTTCCTTATACAGGCCTTTATAAACCCCCAAGACGCAGAGCCGATCGCGGAGCCGGAGACCGTTGGCGACTTAATGAGTCTCATAGCGGACGAGTCCTTCCCTGACCTTTTTGAATAAACAGTTATATATATTAATATTCATTATCTACTTTTGTTTTGGATTGGGGATAATTTTGAAATCGTTAAATTTTTAAATTGTGGAAGCATAAATATATTGAATGACGAAAGTTGAGTATAAGAGTAGTAGAAGAAGTAGTAGGGACAAATCTGGCCACCGCCACCGAGGGCGTTTTCTACTTTTTGCTTTGCTTTTTACATTTCAACGTAAATCCCCAAAAAGCGCACGTAAAATTTTCAAGGTGTGTAAATCCCCGAAATGCGCATGTAAAAAAATGGCTGCTGTTAAGCAACTGTTAAGCAACTGTTAAGCAACTGTTAACCGCTGGCTAACAGCCGGTGGCTAACAGTCTGTTGGGGCCGGCAAAACGGGTAACCGTTAATTTCGAAATTGTTATCAGTGGCTGTTAGGGAATGATCCATTTTTGCCCTATTGTTTTTTTTTTTTCAGTGCGACTAATGTTTGAAAAATGTTTTTAGGTTCCTGGAATATTCAAGTGGGATATTATATTTCATAATATATAGTTGTTTAGATTTGAATATACTCTTAATAAAAAAGATTTAACATAGTTGCGAAATTAAATATGTATTCAAGAATATAAGATAAGAAATGGATTTAAGAATAAGCATTTACATTTATGAAAAGTTAAAATTCATCAGGATGCTGGGGAAATACATTGCTTGTACATATAATTGTTAAAAATAGATTAAATTGACCTAAATAAGTTATTATTTCTTATCTGTCTCCTAAATATGTTATAAGCTTTTCACACAATAACAGAAATCTAATATTATTCCGCCGTCAAAAGTGTTTAAATTATCTAGAGTGAAATAAATATAAAATGCCACTCAAAACTGCTACTTAACATTTCTGTTCATGGACTGCGCTTAACAGGGCTCTGTTAAGAGTCAGCGTTTGCCAACACGCCATCTGGAGCTCAGTGAAAAAAACCCAAGGTTCAAGTCTATGCTTAGTACATTCACATTGCGGCGAATTTCTGTGCACACGGCGAATTTGAATTGGCTGGGCGAATTCAGCACTCATTTTCCAATTATTTTTTTTAGAGTATTTAGGGAAAAGAAGAAAGCGTTTCTGAAAGAAGAAGAAAGCATTTCTGTCTGCACAGATTTTCGTACGCAGCGCAATTTTGATATTACACCCAAATTGTGCTTCCTAAAATTTTTACCCCAGAAAGAAAGACTTAGTAGCAAAACAGGAAAAAGTGTTTTCCCATTTCTTTCGAAGAAGCAACGTAAGAAACACACGTCTTCAGTGAGCAAAGGAAAACACTTCCGGACGGCTTTTTTACCTCTTCCTCCTCGTAGACCCCCATAAACGGGCATGCTTTCTGGAGCCATAGAGTATGAATCTATAGTTTATTACTCTATGACAGTGGTCGGCACACACATACCATCACAAGTTTGCCTTGCATTAGTGTGAGTGTAACAAACACGAAGTTTGCGCGCGGCGTGCTGTAGCGAGACGTTTGTCTGCTTTGCACTGAGATCCTCTGCCGCAGCAACAAAAAAGCGCGCCGAAGTTGAGAAAAAATGACCCGAAGACCCATGCCGAAGTCACACGAACATGTACGTTATACGTGAGCGAGCAGAGGATGGGCAGAACACTTCCCTATGCTCACTAGATAGGCCGCTGCCGACCACTGCTCTATGACTCTATGTTCAAATCGAACTGCCTTACTAATAACGAGAGCGACAGTCCCTAGAACTGGAAAAACAATTGATGTTTGGATGTATCGATACATCGACGATGCTTTTTCCAGCTCTACTCGTTTTTCTCTCTCGCTCAACTTATCTCTCGCTCTTTCGCAATCGGACGGTTATGCCGTTTTTCAAAAAGTCTGGCAACACCTTCTCGGTTCGATAATTCAAAACTGCCAAATAACTCAACGGTTTCAAGAATTCAAATAACTTCAAGAACTGCGACATATCTATAGATATTTTTCAGCATATCATAATGGAAAAATATATAAAAAGTGAGAGATGAAAAAGGAGATCCTACTTGTTGCCTAGTACAAGTTTCCTCAGCTAAGTCCAAATATTCCTCTTACTTAAAGATTCTTATAACTCCGTCCTTAGCGGAGTTTGAATTTAAGTAATAGGTAAGTCCTATTCTAGACACTTTTTTCTTTCATTTGATACCTGGGTCTTTCAAATATTTCCAATATATATTTCCAAAGTTTAAAGTACGCACTGCGTCATTTAAGCTGTAAGCCTCTGTACATGTTAAAACTTAATTTGACTCTTCATCGAACCATAAAGCTTTTTGAAATTCTTTTTAAAGCATAGTGGGATGTGTATTATATATCGCTGTCATATGTGCCAACAAATCTTGTAACTTTGGGATCTTACTTTTATGACATATGCTAATATGAATCCCACATGCAAAGTCGATATCAACAGACCAGAGTGTCAGAAATGGATGGTCGAAGTATACGCCAAATGTCGGGATCTCTTCAGCACGGAATCGTTGCCCATGTGGTGGGTCAACGATACGCCTGCTGTATATAAGGCGGATGTTCAGGACATGACCATTGCAGACTGCCATCGACTGAAAAGGGAATTGGCCAACGAAGTGGCGGAAGAGGATGAGGATCTAGAGCTGGAGAATATTGGCCTGGGAAGAATGGTGGCCCTCTTCCTGGCCTGCGGAGCAATCCTTATGCTCTCCATTCTGTTGTGTGGAATGAAACGCCAAAGCACAAGATCTCTTGCGGAAACCAAGGTCGAGGCCACAAAGGTCGAGCCACAAGAAGATCCTGCTGGTTTAAGCTCCACAAAAAAGAAAAATAGGGCAGCTAACTGCAAAAGCTGGATGCGCAGGAGCTGTCGACGCTTCTTCCTCCACAACGAATCCCAAATAAGGCAGTCCAAGGCCAATGCTGAAAGGGAGGTGGCCATCCGTAACGAACGAACCCGGCAAAATATCGCAATGTGGACAAAGGCTCGGGAGCGGGATGAACAAAAGAAAAAGGAAAAGCTTCAACGAAGTATGGAAAAGGCATCGAGAAAAAAACCAATGGCACAATAGACTATCAGTTTAATATATATTTTAATAACCTTTTTTGACAAAGCTTTAGTGTTTTTTTTTATTTTGTAGAGAGTTACAGTCAAGTGAATCGACTATCAGATACCCCTTACTCGGCTAGCCAACTTCAAAATTAATATATCTTCGAGTAGAGGCGAAGGAACATCGATTTTAATTAATTACACACTTCATTAACTTTAATATGATTTCTTTTATATGCTCAAGTACCAGAGCAAGGAGTACTATCCCCACGAACTTAAGGAACTGATTGCCCAAATGCCTACATTCTTTCCAATATACCCATTTTTCGCTACGAGTTAAAAACGTAAATCTTTCGGGATATATATTTTAAATCCCTCTGCAATTGATTTCTTAAAATATAAATAAATAAAAATTTATTAATTTACACCCAATCCAGTTTTGGTTTTATTAGCTTTATGGTTTATTTTACTCAGATCACAATTAATATTGCTGTCTTAGAATTACTGTGTTGCGCAACAACACCTCAAATGATACAAGCAACTAGGCCTCATAAAAAATCGTCTTAGATTTAATCCGAATTCTGGTGAAATACTTGAATAGTATGTTGCACTTAACAAACTCCTTTCGAAATTAATTATAAAAACTTTTGTCTTATAAAAGGATTAACACTTGCCACTAAAAGTGTGCGTACTAAAAACTGATTCCGCTTAACCACAATTTTGCTATACATATAAAAAACGTTTTTAAGGCAAAGGTTGTAAGTCACGTTCTTGATTGCATACAGCGCCTAGTTTAATTGTATTTATTGTATATATAGTTGTAAATAAGTTTTTATTTTATAGCCATCAAAAAGCAGGGATGATGAAATGTATTAAAAATGTCTTTTTGTTTGGACCTGGTACCAAAATCAGTGGCTCATTAAGCTTATATATCAAGTAATTACTTTTGTTTTGTGTAAATCCTTAAAAATTTATCCGACAAGCCAGTGCGCTTGATATTCAGTAATTTGTTCCATTTATTATTTAGGTATACGTAAGGCTCACTCGAAGTACGATTAATCTGTGGCGAGATCAATGAATGCATATATGTACGCTTATGCGCTCTAATGTGCGAGTGTGTGCAGGTGTATATAATAGATCTATAGAAAACTAACTTAAATGATAAACTATTTATGTATAACAAACATGCAACCGAGAACTATGCTTTTTGTTCAGTTAACTTTACAAGTATGCAATCAGCTCTCATTTAAAGCTACTTCGTTGTGCAAAACATTTCGATAAGATGATAACATTTGAAGATGACTTTCAGCGAGTTAAGGCTGCTTGGTCCAAGTTTCCTATATACAGTCGCTGGCCAGCGAGTCTATGTGAGTTTCTTGGCCCACCTCAGGTCATCATCGCGGGGCTTGAGACCAGTCAAATGCTCGATAATAATCTCGAATGTGGACCAGAATCTATTAAAAAACACTCGCTATTATAAGGATTTAAAGAATTTCCGATATACGATCAAACCTTATGCGTTCCAGAGGCCAATTTAGCCATCCGGTGGTGATGCAAAAGTACGTCTCATGCGGTGCCACATGATGGATGCGATGATGCTTGCGTGGAAGGATAATATGACAGCTCTGGAGTAACAGAACCCACCTGGGCAGTCCCCAGTAGGTGTGCGACCATTTGTGTATCTAAAGGAGATGGGTTTCAAATCATTATGTCTCTTTAATATTCGGTTTTGCCTACCTGATTGGTCATGGCCACAAATATGGAGCAGAGGAAAACATAGGCTATCCAGCCAAAGTGTTGCTGAATCTCACTCGGCGACCGGATGTAGAAATAGTGAGCCAAATAGCCGAGGATTGGTATGCCCACCATAAAGTTGTCGCCGTTTGTCTCGATGAAATCGTGACGCGTTATCGAAGTGGGGTCCAGATGATGCTCTCGAAATGGTCGCAGAAAGTTCTAAAAAAAAAGTAAATATATTTTATTATTTATTGGAGGTAATATTGCATCGCTCACCTTTCCAATCATGGGTAAATCCACCGATCCCCATGTATCTGCCGCCCAGTGCACCAATCCAGAAGCAAAGTCAGCTGTTATAATGCCACATAGGGCCGACAGAAAAGCCACACTTATTCGCTCCAAACGCAGGTGCCTAACAATTAGGGCTAGATTGATAATCATAAGGCCAATACAGGTGTAGACGCATATGATTTCCTGGGCACGCTTTCCTGTTGAAGTACAACATTTTTAATATAATAAAAGCGATTTTTAAGATGACAAAATCAGGTAATAAAATATCCTGAGATGATGTCCCTTAAATTTATCTACTCTTTTTTTAATAAAGCTAATACAATAACAATATATGTATATAATTTTTTGTACTCCTGTAATGATAACTAAAATATTGAGAACACTTTTTAGTTTGATTATCCGCAAGAAAAAAATATTTAAATACGATTCCAAAAGACTTTTTAATGAAATATGGACATAAATACTCTTTTTTTAAAGAATTAAATCCAGGCAAGGGAACATTATAATATTATAATGTAACAAGATATTGTCTTACAGTCTGTGGAGTCAATAATTTTCTTGATTAATAGAAGAGGTCAAATTATATGTAAAAACATTACTTCGTTAGCATCTGTTTTCCGGGTTTCTTCAAACTTAAATTTTTTTCGTATGATACCAAAAAGGGATTAGGAATAACATGATTTAACACTTTATAAAAAAATGTTTTTACCTACTCGTTCTTGGATTTGTAAGTTAATAATGTGATATCACATATGTATAATCAGACGTGTAATTAAAAGTAATAATGGTTATTATAATCTACCTACAGGAAACTCTATTCGTAACCGGTAATAACCTGATTTAATGGGTTTTGCGGTGGGAACAGCTCACCTGGACTGTACAGCGAGGCCAGTTCCTGGGCACCCTTATTCTGGGGTCCCCAGCGCGGAGAAGTCGAACTTATTGCCGCAGCGTTGGTCCCTGTTGTTGTGGCACCAGCGACCTTTAGCTCCTCCGGCATGGCCGTTTCCTGATCCTCTGTGGTGGCGGGCGCTGAGTTGCCATTGGGGTCATCCTCGTACATGGAGTTGGCCAAAATATCCTTATCGCTCTTGCCTGTCATGGTCTGCGAATGGAGAAGCAAGGCCAGGAGTCACAACACTGACGATCTGAGCGATATAAAAACAACTTGAAGGCCTTGATGACAATTCCTGACTGATTGCCAATGCAATGCCTCAATTCAATGTCAGGCCACCGATTCTATTGCCTGAGAACAGGGGCATCTGGTTCAATTGGTCGCCTCTACATAATTAACGATTGCGAGGACAACCAGGTGGGTGTACATTTTCGAAAGGATATGTATATATTTAAATGGTTTATTTAACAGTTGGAAAACAAGAAAGAAGAGCAACTAGCCAGTGTAAACGAAGGACAGACCGTCGCCTTGCTCCAACCAATGACCTCTGGTCAGGGATCCCAGCATGTTGCGGCGTTGATGTCATTACCTTCAGCTGCACCGACTTCCCCAATCCACTAATCCCACAGAAACCCAAACGACGGGTCACGCAATATTTTGGACTTACGACTGGTCTGCGGGGACCGCCAGAAGCTAACTCTACCGAATGAGTTGAGTTGTCAGTGGCGGAGGCGCGGTCTAGAGGTGCCTTAATTAGGCAAATTGGTATTTAAATTGTTGTGAACGCTATCTGCCTGCTTTTTGGGGTAGGTTGAAAAACGCGATGGGTCAAAGGATTATATTTTTAGCAGCTTATTTGTTTCTTTGTTATTCCGCTCTTTATGTTCGATGGGGTACTCTTCGGTGATAAATGAGCCTTAACACGAAATGTGGGCGGAGAACAAAGTCTCGTTTGGGCTTTAAATAGGTATAGAATAATGTTATTCAAAGTAAACAATGATATTTGCACCTTGGCTTTTACTCTTCAAGGTATACTTATCACCGGGGACTGTAAAAATGATAAGAACTCCAAGGACAGTGGAGACAAACGGTGAGGAAACGGATTACAGTGGTAACAACTGCATAGCACCAATAAAGATTAACACCAATTTCTCATTTTCTAAATAACCCATAATTGAGGTTACTTGACTTCCTCGAACTCAATTGAATTCAATAAAAATTTCATTGATTAAAGCATGTTTTTCATCAGTTGAGTATACCAAAACCGTCAAATGCACCCGCAATTACATTAATTAGTCCATTTGGGATCGGAAATATTACACAAATTAACTGTTTCAAAGTTCCATAGGCCATCTGTCATTAGGCGAACTAATGGTGAAAGCACATTAATCAAAACTGGCAACTACCTATTGATAAAGCCCCACCGAAACACGCGTGGGCATACATATATCCATCCACTAATGCTACCGAACCCAGGAGTCTCGAAGGACACGACAACAGGACCCATAATCTGACGGTTGAGTTCCAAAACGCCCCCGCTGGCAAACGCAAACATTTCCGGGTGACGTGCACCGGGCAGGATAAACAAAAGACGGACGGAATGAACACCACCAGTAGAGCGCTGATTCAAATTTCAAAAATAAATGCGAACTGGTGGAGTTGTGGGTGCAAATGGGGCTATTTGGGGTGGCTAGTGGGTTGTTGTGATGGGGAGCAGTAAACCGAGAAACCCAAATGAATGTGAGAATGCCGACAACTAAATTCTTTGGCGCCGACTTCAATGACGCCCACGCCTGTCCTGGATACCCGGTAATCAGGGGGTATACTAAGCATATTTCAGCCAAACTATGTTTGTGTTCTACGAAATATAATGACCCATATATTGATAAAAAGGTCACAAGAGAGCGTGTATACCGATGAATACGAAAAACAATTTATTAACATTGAAAAAAAAACTTAAATCTAAAAAAAGTTTGTTAAATATAAAAGTTTCGAGGTCGGGTTCGCCCCATTTCGCTTTATGAAATTTTTTTTACCATTTTAAACTCGACTTTAGCAAGAATCTGTATTCTTTTATCTTTATCTTTTTAAGTTATTATAATGAATGACAAGGAAATAGTAAACGTTAAGTTAATCTTAAACTGAACTCAAAATAATTCAGTGGTTCCTATAAATTAAAGAGCATAACATTAAAAAGTTTAATCCCCCCTTAAAAATCGTATATGATATAATTAGATTAATTTAAGAAATAAGAAAGAATGAGTTTCAGTTTAAAGGGTATTTACATTTTTCGTAGCATACTATTTAAAAACTGTTGTAAGAGGCCTTTAAATCACCAGAAATACAGCTTTATAAAACATTACAAAATTCTTATAATTCTCAACCGAGGAATCCTAACTTCGAGCTTGCCCACCTGGCTAATTATTTGTTTGTTCGCTCGCGAAAGGCATAAAAAAGGGCGCACAGCCAACAGGTATTAATTTGGCACAACGTAACCACGATTTTCGTGGTTCGTTTTTCGTAGGAAAATAACAATTTACTACACGAAATGCGCGAAAGACACTCAAAATGGGAAAGTTCCTAGTTGTTTTTTTTGGGTGACAAAACCGACAGCTTTTGTTCGGTTGCCAACTGCGCTCTCGTTTTTAAATAGTGTAGTGGCATAGCGGTATTAATAGCCCCGTTTATTTGTTGTCGCGACTTTTTGCAAGTGATAAGGAAATTTCAATGGCTCTATTTTTAAAGGCAAGCGAAAATCGTTCTCGCTGAAAGCGTTTGACTCACCTTTTCGCAGGTGTTATTATTGTTATCGTTGTTATTCTCCAAAAGTTTTAGGGGGCCTGGGCCTATTACTTGCAGCAATTAAAACTAAATGACCGTCTGCCAAGTATTGATTTGGAACCAAAACGCCAGCGATTGTTTAGCATTTACTAACTTTGAATTACAGCGAACTTGGGCGTCGGCGTCCCCTTTATTTTTTTTTTTGGTTTCGTAGTGCCATCCAAAGGTAAATAAATGCCGTGCTTTTCTTCTTTTTTTGTATGCACGTGATTTAAGGCTGCCCCACCGTACACACACACACGCGCACGCCGCGCACTCTCGCACACACACACACACACACACACGCGCGCACGAGCTGCAGTAAGAGTACCGCTACTTTGCACCAGTAAATTCCGAAAGAAACTAAACCTAACGGCAAAAACGAATCGTACGGCGCAGCCATTTTCATTCATGCCCCCCGAAGTCGCATGTGTGTGTGGGTGTGAGTGTGGGCTTTACCGTTACGCTGCCGGGCTTTTTGGTGTTGGATTCGGCCATGTTGCACTACTCACTGTTTAATCTAGCGGTTCCAAACGCCAAAACCTTTACTTTCCGTCCTGTTTTGCTGTTAAAAATATTCAAATTTTGACAGTTAATACAATGCAAATGCATATTCGACGGATTAAAAAAAAAACCGCCACCGAACTAAAATGTAATTAAAGGAGGTAAAACATTTTAACAAGTCTCTAGTTTAGTCTAATATTTTAACAAAAGGTAACTCTTTCCAAAATGTCGTACACAATTATACAAATTATTTTGAGCTTCAACTTAAACCGGGGAATACCCCAATGGAGCATGTCGCAGCCCTGGATGTATCGACTATCGATACCTTGCAGCGTTGCCAGCCTGCTTAAAAAACAGCTGATCCACCGGCTGCATGCAATTTACCTTGTTACGTAGTACTGAAAACAAATTGGTTTTATTCAATTAAAATGTTGCCCATCGCACGTGGAATTTACAGTGGACTGGCCAACATAACCCGGAACAGCCGTGCAGCTCTTCACACGGCCAGTGCACTGCGTTGCAAGGCGGAGGCTTCGGGCGAGGAAAAGGATGCCACGGAATCCACCGAGGGCGAAGGCGAGGACAACTCCAGTGGTTCCGCATCAGATCCAAAGGATCGCAGCAAGCTTATCCCCGTGGAGACGTCGATCCGCTACTTGAAGAGCGCTGCCTATAAGCAAACCTACGGCGAGGACTTTGTGTGGACGCAGTACCGGTAGGCCCAACAAACATCTTGGGGGAATCTTAAGAAGGTCTCCCAAATCCGTATCTGAGCTATCCCAAATTCAACAGTTTAGATATGACAGCTTTACAGCTACCATATACACCTTTAACATCTAAACAGCTAAGATTTTCACCTGCAGGTTCTTTGAAAACTAATCATTGTAAGATCGTTTTTGAACTGTAATCGGGACTGTTACAAAAATCTTGTTCAACGAAACGTTAGGAATTTGTATTTGGTTACATAGGAATCTCAATTGAGATGTTCTCAGCTATTTTTACATAGGAATCTCAAGCAAAACATAATCTTATAATGCATCTTATATTTTCAGGCGCAACCACAAGGGCATGTATGCGCCACGCAAAACCCGTAAGCAGTGCATCCGCCAGAACAGGATCACCACGGGAAATCCTTGTCCCATTTGCCGCGATGAGTACCTGGTGCTGGACTACCGCAACACAGAACTCCTGGAGCAGTTCATCTCGCCCTACAGCGGAGATGTTCTCAGCTACTCGAAGACGGGCCTATGCCAGAAGAGCCATTTGCGACTTCAGGTTGCCGTGCAGCAGGCACGCGATTCCGGATATCTAACATATGATGTACCATTCAGGGAGTACGATTACAACGAGTACTACGGCCAGGGACAGAAGCAGAAAGCTTAGTTACCAAATGTTGCTTGTTGTTTATAAAAAAAAATTATTGTAAAAGAAGTAACAGCGCCTTTTAATTAAGGTAATTCTGTAGTACAAGTTAGCCCTTAGGGTTGGTATCTGAAAATCGATGTACTCATCTATAGCGTACCTTTCTGCATAAAATTGAAAAGCAATGTACCGTACCGAACTAAGTTAATATGCGGTAAATGGTTTCAGCTCCGTTTAGTCTTGAGTAAAAGATGAAACAATTCACAACTGACGGAAAATGAAATCGTGCATTCTGGTGCTGACCCTGTCCTGCCTGTTTTTGGAGGAGACAACCCATGTTCTTGCGCAAAAGGTTGTCAAAAGGTTGCAGAAGAAAACAAAGGATATTAAAGAGCAGGATCCGGTAGAGGAATGTAGTGCACTTAGAAACGAAGCAAATGAATTGGAAACCTCTAACCGGGCTTTGCAGAACGAAATTTTCAAATGTAAACAAAGAGACAGATGTCCTAACAAAGGTCCAGATGGCATTTACAAAATTACGGTCGGTGGGAACAACATTGCAAGAACAGCAATTACTTTCGAAGCTTCCTGCAAAAGGTGCGGTTGGATGATATTTCAGCGACGTTCTGATGGCTCTGAAAACTTCAACCGTGGCTGGAAGCATTATAAAGCAGGATTTGGAAACATCAAACGAGATTTTTTTATTGGTCTCGAAAAACTGCATCTAATCACGAAGGCACACCGTTGCCAAGTGTTAATTGAGCTTCGGGATAAGAAGGGAAACCGTCGTTACGCTCATTATGATCAAATAGAGATTGGAAGTGAGAAGGAGTCGTATATGCTAAAGGTGGTTGGAAAATATTCGGGTACAGCAGGTGATTCTCTTAAATATCATGAGAACGCTAAGTTTAGCACATTTGACCGTGATAACGACTCACATATTGAGAACTGCGCAAAACATCATCACGGTGGTTGGTGGTTTAAAAAATGTGCTACAAGGTTTGTAGTACGAATTAATTCTTCATTTAAAAGGCATAACTTTAAACATTTAAAATTACAGCTCGCTGAATGGAAAGTATTATAAGGACGGAAAAAAACCAGAAGGAAAAGATTATGGGATTTTTTGGGGTTCTTGGAATAAAGACTACGACTTTAACATCTCGCTTACCCATGTTGAAATGATGATTATACCTCAATGCTTAACATTGGAAACGGTTCCTATGATAATGGAAAAATTGAAGCGTAACTAACTTCTAAAATGTGCGTTAAATTTGTTCTAAGCGAACGGACAATATTTTAAGCAAATGTCCATATAAAACACACAATAATACAATTCCTGAAATAAAAACAAATGGGCACTACATACATAAAAAGAGTTTTTAATTTGGAAAACCATCAAAACTATGAAATGATGACTAGGCCTGAATGTTTGCATACACTTTTAAACTAAATTATACGCTTCTATACACAGAGAACACCAGGCGGAACTTAGTAATATGCATAACTAAACAAAATAGCCGTTAAATCCTATAGCTCAGTTCATTCTTAAGTTGAATGTGAAATAAATCACTTTATTAGAGCCGGGAAATGAAATCCTGTATTTTTGTGATGATTGTAACGTATTTACTTTTCGTTGCAGACGGTCTGAAACGGTCAGGCGGTCTGAAACGGTCAGACGGTCGGAAAAGGGAAAAAGTAGTTACCAACAAGGTGGTCCCTTGCAGTACCCTGCAAAAGACAATGCCTACTTTAGTGTCCACGAACAAGGCCTTGCAGAGCAAGCTTTTGAAGTGCAAAAGAAAAGTCTGGTGTCCTCCCGAAGGTCCAGATGACATTTACAATATCACGATTGGCCGAATGAATACATTGAAAGAGATAAAAGCTACTTGTAAATCGTGTGGTTGGATGGTAATTCAGAGGCGTCTTGACGGTTTTGTAGATTTCAACAAAAGCTGGACGGAGTACAAAGACGGATTTGGCCTTATTAGAGCAGAATATTTTATAGGGCTCGAAAATTTGCATATTATTACGAATGCAAAACAATATGAACTTTTCATTACGCTTCGACGTGAAAATGACGTTGGTGGCTACGCTAGATATGATAATTTTAAAATTGGAAGTGAAAAGGAGGAATTTGAGCTAAAAACTTTAGGAAAGTATTCTGGCACAGCGGGGGACTCCCTGAGATCGCATGAGAAAATGAAGTTTACCACATTTGACAGAGATAATGACCTTTCTAGCAGTAACTGCGGAATCCCTTATTACAGTGGTTGGTGGTTTCACAATTGTTCCACAGGGTATGGATATAAATAAAACTGGTCATCTACAATGTATAATTTTTAACATTTAAAATTACAGTAACCTCAATGGAAAATGGTATAAAAACGGAATAAAAAACGGAGATGGTTTTGGAATTGGTTGGGATTCTTTGACAGGTGGATCAGTTTCTAAAACACTTACCTTTGTTGAAATGATAATTAAACCAAAATCGTGCAGATTGGATGTTAAATAATAATACAAAAATAAATAAAAGAGGGCATAAGAAAAAATTCATTGAACAAAGGTTTCGAAAAATTGTAGCTTTACCATTCACTTCGAGTTTCCACCGTATTTCATTAATGACCATATGATTTTCGGTTACCGCTAACTTTAAATTTATTAATCAAGTATTTGCTTATTAAAGGGTTAACTGATTTAACTGTTAATGTGTATATAATACCCCTAGGCCATTTGAATGTTCTCCTTGTTTTCACCTCCGAGTTCCTCTTGCAGGAGTCGTTGATACGAGCGCTGGGCCAGCAGATGGTCGGCCTCTTTGAAAATGCGGATATTTCTCGTACAATTGTTAAAAGTGCAGTTACCCAGCAAGTTGTCCTCGTTGTAGCTGGAATAAAAAGGCTTAACTTAATAAATTGTCTTACTATAGGTAACAAAAATCGTTCTTGCTTTGATGAAGGTAAACATTTAAAACTGTCAATGATTTAAATACTTACCGCTGAAGTTCGCTATACTTGTTTAATATCACGGTCTTTTCTGTACTTTCCTCCCCCATGGCTAGGCCATCGGCCATGATTCCGAGAGTGCAGCTGTCGAAGCTGCACTTGCTTCCCTGCAGATTTACCGAAACGGTCTTATCCAGCAACTCCAGTCCTGTTTTGCAGTTTTTGAATTGCACGCTTCCTAACTCGACGCAAGATCTCGGTCGCATTGAAATGCCCACAGAAAAGTTCTCAATTATGCAACTTTTGAGCTCTACACTGGCGCCAGGCATACAGACGATTCCCTCCTGAGTGCTGGAGCTGCCATCGCCCAAAAGGCGACAACCTCGCATCGTCAAGGTGCCATTGCGCAGTAGAATGCCCCGGCGGACGTGGCGGCAATCCAAGACAAGTTGTGACAGCGTATAATCACCATCGATGACCAGCAGAGTGCTATCCTCATCGCTGGAACACACCACCGGCAGCTGGGAAAGATCTGCAGCCGGAGTTAGTATAGCTTCCGGTTGGACTAGGCCACTCATGCTGCCGCTGTCATTGAGATGTTCCAAAAACTTGATGGTGTGCTCACCGGGAGAAAGTAGTATGTGATCGTTGCTCTGGCAGATCCCTAAAACATCTTGCAGCGTATTCGACAACTGCACCTGCGCTTCTGGCTTGACCTGCATCTGGGCCAGCTTCAGCAGATCCAGCTGCTGCTGCAGTTTTCCTGGCAACGTGACCACATGGCTAATGGAATTCCTCTCCACCAAGAGATCGTCCATTTGTCTAGTTCTTCCTGATGAGCTGCGAATCCTCTTCAAGCTGTTCGACTGCAACTCACTGTAGGCCCGCCTCATCTCAGGATTTTCCAGAATCTCGAACTCGCTCCTAATGATGGCCATGCGAAGGTGCAGGCACATTAGGTCCGTTACCGGCAGACTGGACACATTAAGGCTGCCATTGGCATTGCCTGTTTTCGATTGTTTTCTGGCCGGCTCCGCTCCATTGTCATTAAGTTCCACGGCCTCGTCGTCGCTCTCGGCATCGCTGAGATCGAGTTCTAGGAAGTCCAAGCGCTGCTGGATGTAACTGGCTTCGGTGAGCAGGGTGCGCATGTGCAGCGCCAGTGGACGGGGTAGCCGATTCTTGCTAAGATCACAGACCAACTGGATGCGAGCCTCTAGATGCTGCTGCACCCAATCGCGATCATCGTCGTAATCCTTGTCCCAGGGCATCCAAACGTGCGTATAGAAAAACCTCAACCGATCAATGCACTCCGCCGTGGTGTCCACATTCAGGGCCGAGTTCTCCTGCTGCACCGTGGGCCACAGCTCCACCAGGGACACCTCGTTGCTCTCCGGCAGGTGGACATCGTTGTCCTGAACGGCGGTGACCACAAAGACAGCCTTTAGCTCATCGAAGATCACCTGCTCCACGTAGCCATACACAATGGTGGGATAGCGAAGTTTAAGATCCTCGCAAATAACGCGCGGTATTTTCCAAATCGCCTGCCAACCTGTATGTGTACGTTTGATATATGTGGTATGGGCTAGTCTTTGTTGAATTTTGCACTAGTGTGGGTGGCTTACCTGCAGGCTCGATCTTCAGTTCTACGTAGGATTTCCACTCGGATCGAACCTGGGAGGCGGGCATTACGGCCCCCTCCCAGGAAAGCACCGCCTCCGCTTCCTTCAGGCGCTCTAAATACGATTTCTCGAAGGTAAACACTTCCATTTTGCGCCTGTTTAGTTAATTGCAATGTATACGTTTGGAAAGATTTTTGAAATGCGTGTGCAGGCTGTGGCTTCGATAACGATTATTCGGGAGGAGTTATCGCACAGAGCAACCATGCGTAAAGTAGCTTAGCTATTTTCTCGACCAATCTGGCTTTTATTTCTGTTCTATTCAATTTCTTATCTAGCCGTTTCGTTTTTAACGGACCATGTTTAAAATAAAATTTAATGATTTTTTTTGTTATAGTCAAATAGAATAACTATAAAGAAATATAAGTAAAAGCAATTTTGGTTAGTCATATAAAAAGCGGTGGTTTCAGAAAGTTTTGGCCATTTTGCTTAGTTTTGCATTTAGCTACTTTTCCCAACCAAATCTGTCAGCACTGCTGAAAGTATCGATGCCAACAGATGTTCAAAATACTCATTCAGTGCGGTGTTTTTCATGTAAACACAACAATTAACAAAAACTAAAGAAAAATGGCCTCAAACAGCATGCCAGAAGAGAATTTTGAAGGCGGGGATGTATGGATATAGCGGGAGCTATAGTTTCAAGACACCTAATGATGGTTCCTTAACTTTTCCAGTTCAACTTTGATGACGATGGGGAGGATGACCAATTTGTGGCCACTAATTCAGGACGAAAGCGTCTTTTTAGCAAGGAGCTGCGCTGCATGATGTTCGGCTTTGGCGACGACAAGAATCCGTACACGGAAACCGTGGATTTGCTGGAAGATTTGGTCATCGAATATATAGCCGAGACCACCCACCGGGCAATGGAAATCGGTCGGACGGGTCGCGTTCAGGTGGAGGACATTATCTTTCTGGTGCGCAAGGATCCTCGAAAATACGCCAGAGTCAAGGACCTCTTGACCATGAACGAGGAGCTCAAAAAGGCGCGCAAGGCCTTCGATGAGATCAAGTATGTGGGTAAGTATTCTTAATGTGCGAGTTAGGATTGACAAAGGTATACACTTACATTTAAACACATAATTCCCAGGCACCGAGGGCAAGCTCAAATGACAGAGGTCCAAAAAAGCCCCAACAAATCCAGGAACAAGCCAATCCTAGCAGTAAACTTCCAGCGTACGAATTATTCTAAAAGGTTTTAATACTTAAGCTAGCCCATAATAAACTAATCAAAATAGTCTTCAATGTCAATATCGGGATTAAGTATATCATCGCCATAGGGCTCCAGATCGATGCCGTTTAAGATGAGGTTCTCGCAGGTCTCGGCCAAGTCGGTGTCGCCGATGAGGATAGCACCGCGCAGTCTGCCCTTTTGCAGGACAAACTTGATGTACTCTTTGTTGCGAGTGCAGCGCACTAGGATTTCATAGTCCTGGCCCAAGTCCTGGCCATTAAATCGGCCCAGCAGGACGACTGGGTAGCCAAAGAGCTTGGTTACATGGCCAAAGAGCTCGAAGCAGAAGTCCTGGTACACGGTTTCACCCTCGCTGGCGGCTGCCATACTCCTGCCCGCCATCGAGCCCATTTGTCGGGCCTGCGTCCACAGGCGCATCTGGAACCAGTGCATCGCTGCAGGCCAGTTGGCCGTGCAGACATCACCGGCTGCATAGACATCCTCCAGATTTGTACGCATCATTTCATCCACGAGAATGCCACCGTCCTCAGATAACTTCAGCTTGGAATCGCAGCTGTAAAAGGTGTTCGGCGAAACTCCCGTGGCGGAAACAATGAAGTCACAGGTCAGCTGCTCCTTACTCCCATCCTCGTGTTGCAACTGGACTTCATATCCTCCTTCATCGGGAAGCTCCAGGGTCGAATAAATGCGAGATTTGTAGTAGATCTTCGGAAGGCGTTTATCTGCTCCTCCAGCTGCCCCACTCAATTCGAAGGTGCGATGCCAATCCGGACCCAAAGCAGCACCATGTTTATTAGTCTGCTCCTTGGGAAGCACTTCACCATATCGCATACGTTTGATAGCCGTTACCGGAGAGGAATCCTGTGCATCCAACTCGCTCCTGGCCAGCTGAAAAAACTCCGCTGCTCCTGGGTCCACAAAGGTGGCCGAGATGTGGGCATCCTTCACCACCCAATGGACATTAACATCCTTCAGCTCGTAGGCCAACTCACTGGCAATGCCGCCATTGCCCAGGATCAGCACATCCTTGGCTGCCGCCAACTTGCGCTGCAAATACAGCACAGAATCCGTGTCCCGAATGCCAAAGGCGCAGGGATCGAGTACCTGGCCGCAGAATAATTTAGGTACTCCACCAGTGCAGAGGCACAGATAGCGATACTTGATCACCACACCCTTTATGGTGCGAATCCAGTGCTCCTTGCTGTTGATGTGATCCAATTGGTCCACTAGAGTCTCGATGATGGCTCCCATTTCGGAGACATCCCGTTCCCGGACATCGAACTTGTGCAGATAGCGAGCCACCGGCACCAAGTTGGTGACACTCTTCACGATGCTGGATTCCGTGAGCAGAAGAATGGAGGCAGTGGGTCGGCAGATGGCCAAGGACTCGGCGCAGCTAACGCCAGCGATGCCGCCACCGATCACCAGGAACTCGCACTCGCGCGACATCCTCAGGGAAAAATAATAATAAACCAAAATCACGAAATACTGAAGGTGATTCACTAACGGCCAACTGAACAGCTGATTTCAAGGCAGCACAGTGGAACCTGTTGAAGTCTGGTTCCAGAAAACAAAACTAAAGTGGGAGATTAGAAAATGGTTTGACCCACAAATTACATTTTTATAATAAGTGTATATTTTACTTAACAGGAAATAATGTATATCAAAGAATATGGAAAAGAATGAAATATAATTTTAAAATAATATGGTTACTCGAACAGGTCTCGTATAAACTTAATATGTCATACTTTCACCTAGGCAAGGTAATTGTTTTAAAGATCTAATGAAAAAACATCAACTTTAACTTAATACTGGTTTTGGCTACAGAAAATCGACTGCAGTTTGTGTTTATTTTAAATTTTTGGCGGGTTCAAATCAGCTGTTTTTGTTTACTGGGTATTTAGCAAATGCCAGAAAGTAATGCAGCCCTAAAAAAAATACTACGCAATATAAACGCCCCCGTTGGTAGCCTCCGGATTTTGTATGGACCGTAGTATCAACTCAACTTTAACGGTATTCGGCTTTACTATCAAAAAAGCAAAGGAGCACCATGTCCAAGGAGCACTGGATGCGGGATCTGCCAAGTGAATTGCGCGACCTGTCCCTCATCAATCTAGCCATTCCAGGTATGGATGAGATCACCCCATTAATGGAATTAATTAAGGCGTCTCCATTCTAGTATAGGTTCCCACAATTCAATGTCATATGGCATAAATAGCAAGTCCAAACTATCGCCTGACGCGGAAAAGGCCATACGGCAATGGCATCGCTTCTTTCCCTGCTTCGTACGCCGTTGGAGCAAAACCCAGAGCTCCGGGACATTGGAACAACTGCAGTTGGGTGTGCGCTACTTTGATCTGAGGATAGCCCAGAGGGATGATAAGTTCTACTACTGTCATGGCCTCTTTGCAATGGAGATTTTCGAGCCACTATTGGAGATTCGGCAGTTTGTGGACTCCCATCCCGAGGAGTTGGTCATTCTCGACCTGCAGCACTTCTACGCCCTGACAGTGGCTCATCACCAGCAGCTGCACAAGGATCTAATCCAGTTCTTCGGACATCGTCTGTACTCCACCGTCGATGGTTCCCTCAAGGATTGTACTCTGAATAGATGTGCGGAGATGCAACGCAGCCTGGTGATAATCTATAGGCGGTGTCCCATTCCCTTACCATTAAGGTTTTGGCCCAGCTATACTTGGCCCACACCATGGCCTAACAAAGCGAGTGTCAAGAAGCTGCGGTCCTTTCTGGAAGACTCCCTACTGTCGCGACAACCCCAGCAGGGTTATGTCTCCCAGTGCCTCATCACGCCCACAGGCCGCTACATTGCTTTCCGGCTCTTCTTCACCCTGAAAAGTACAGCCAAGCGGGTAGACAAGAAGTTGCAGCCATGGATTCAGGAGCAGATTCCGGGTCCCTTTGAGCCAAAAGATGATCCTACAGTGAATGTCTTCCTTGCCGATTTCGTCAACCTCAAGGACGGGCAGTTCTGCAATTGGGTAGTGGAGCTAAACACAAAGATACAGGAGAGGGTGGCCGAGAATCAGGAACAGGATTCCTCTTGAAAGATGTTCTGCTACCTTGTGCCAGATATGTATTGGAAGTCAAATAGTTGATATAGGGTTGTGGCACTTTTTATATTTTTATACACCAATATTTAGATTCTATTACAACGTAAAGTATTCATATTTAGATCGAAAAATGTTTCATTTGGTAAAACCGTGATAAGCTTTTGTAGAAGCAAATGGTATAAACCCAGTGATATTCAATTTAGTAATTCTATGTGCAAACAATTTTTAAAATGAGCCCCTGATAGGTCCATATGAATAAGATGTTAAAATATTTTTTAAAGCTCGACCATGTTATTGCTAAAACAGTCGCTCAAACTTTCGTGTTAATAACGTTGATGTAAATAATGGCACAAGACAGCTTTTCTCGTTGGTGCTATCAATATTTTATTTTTAAAAACCAATATACAAAATATATATATATTTAAAAACATAAAAACAAACGCAAAGCACATTGCAGCATAAAATCTAGTCCAAGGTGCGAACTAATCGTCGTCAATCGATAAGAAATCGCACAGCCTTCTGTGTTTTTGTCGGCGAGGTGGCACTTGCAGTGGCCTCCGCTCGGGTCAGGGAAGTGTGCATCCCATTGAGCACGGTGTCCATTCGGGCCAGAGCCTCTTGTAGGCTGACGGCCAGGACACCGTTGTCCTGCTGGTTTTCCCGCTCGAGGAGGGCATTCTCGCAAAGCCGCCGCAGTCGTTGGGAGGATCGTTGCATCGTCAGCAGCTCCTGTTGGACGAGCGTGGTAAAACTACTCTGGCTACCAGGCGTCTCCTCGGGATCGTAGGTCAGCAGGCGTTTGGTGTACTGCATCAATTGGCTGCCAGGTGAAGGAGTGGAAGTCTGTCGGGGTGTGTTGCTGCTGCTGGACACATTGAGCAGTCTTTTCAGCGGTTTGTTTAAAAGCACATCCTTCATGGCACTTAGATTTAGGGCGATGCGACTAGAATTATGGGTATCGCTTAGGGTCTCATTAAGATCCGCATCTAGTGGCTCCCAGTCAACCTCAACACTCTGGAAAATGGTCCTAGCATTCAGTTTTTCCTGTTGCTCCGCACTGTCCCTTACCAAATCTAGCCAAACACCCAACCTGGCAGTGGGCCATTCGGCTTTGAGGCCACGTTGTTTGTCTAAGATCAGGATTACAGTGCGCAGCAGTCCAAACTCATCGGGCGTCTGGGTTTGCCGGAACTCCAATGGCAGATCCAACTGGCGACACCTTTGTGTGGCCTCCTTGACCATCAACTGGGTCTTGTGTAGACTCTCTTCCGAGGGATTCAACATGATGCGTTGGATGTCCTCTAGAATAGTTGATTTCTGAGCTGGGGTCGATACTCCGTCCTCCTGCCTCAGGGGAGTGTGTTCCTGTTGTTGGGCCAGCGCTAATGCTTGGCGCTCTGTCTCCAGCATCTCGCTGTTGCACTTGTACTTGAACTGCTCCAGTTCGAGGCACTGCAGCCGCTCCTCAAAGTCCCGGGCATGCTGAGCCCGCTCCTGCTCGATTCGCGTAAGAGCAGCTCGCTTTTCCGCCTCCAGTTCGGAGCGGAGCTGTTGCTCCTGCTTCTGCAGGATCTCCTGGTGGGCCAGTTGGAAATCGACCGGATGGTCGGTCTTTCCTCTTTGCGAGCAAAAGGGATTGGAGATGCGAAAATAGTGGGAGCCACCGATAACCAGACGGTCACCATGGAATAGCTGCCGACGATCCTGCAGGAGTTCTCCGTTCACATATGTTTCAAAGTCCTCGCTGCCGGGAATGACATACAACTTGCCACCACGTTCGTGCTCGATGCTGCAGTGCTGCAAGGCCACCAGTGGACCATCTAGTACAATATCCGGCTGAGAGTTAGCACTCCCTCCTGGCAGACGACCACGTCCTATGCGCACGAGTCCTTGCGGCAGCAGGTAGAACAAGGTGCCACTAAGTATGGGATCAGCGGTGAGATTGACCAGACAGGCCTGCTTCTGCTCGGCGGTTAGTTCCAGGGCCAATCCCCGGCGTTTCAGGACACGCAGCTCCGATTTCCGCTGATCCTCCGCCTCCTTAAGCTTCTCCATCCAAGACTTTTGCGCTCGACTCAACTCCCTTTCCCGTTCAGCCAACTGTTGACGCAGTGCCTCCACTTCTGTCTCATCCACCGAGGTTTCAATAATGATCTTACGTGGCACTGGATTGTTATTGTTGCCGGATAAACGCCTCTGGCGTTCATACTCATTCCTCAGGGACTTCAGGCGATCCACTTCGGCGCGCAGATCCCGGATGATCTTGTCGTGGGGCGATTCGTTCACCTTCACCCGGTTGACGATGGATCGAGCCTTGCAGGCGTACCGCAAAGTGGCCAGAGTCTCATCCGCATGAATGCTAGCCGGTGATATGGTGGCCAACATGACGGTCTTTGAGTTCCCGCCGAGGTTTTCCTGGAAAGAGGAGACGACAAAAGTTATATTCAGAACTTTGGGATGCATCTTGAGATTGGATGAGTAATTGTATTGTTTTGGTGTTAATCTCTGGGGTAAATCCAGTTATTTATTGGCAGGGTCAATATGGCAAATGGGGATAAACCTCAGCTTTGACTTTCTCACTTTTTGCTTATTCAGTGTTATTCAAGGCGGTCAATATTTCTTAACACCTACTTGGAACAGATAAAATAATAGTAAAAACAAGGAAGAACGCTATAGTCGAGTACCTCGACTATCAGATACCCGTTACTCAAAGGGAAATGGAGATATGCAAGCAGCAAAGCGAAATTAAAATGCGCCACCTACCGGCGGTAGACAGATTTAAGCGTTATGGGCGTTAGAGTGGGCGTGGCAAAATTATTTTTGGATCAATCGATAGGTATTGACGACACCAATACATTTCAGTTAAAATTTTTTATCTAGCATGCAAATTGTGGGCGTCACAGGTTTTCGCGGTTTGTGGGCGTTTAAGTGGGCGTGGCAAACTTTTTTTTAGGTTAATCGATAGGTATTGATGAGAACAATACATTTCAGTTAAAATTTTCTATCTAGCATCAAAACTGTAGGAGTTACAGTTTTGGGCGGTTTGTGGGCGTTAGAGTGGGCGTGGCAGTCTACTGAAACAAACTTGCGCTGCGTAAGAAGCTCAGGAATCTGTACGCCAAATCTCAATAGCCTAGCTCTCATAGTTTCCGAGATCTCAGCGTTCATCCGGACGGACAGACAGACGGACAGACGGTCAGACGGACAGACGGACAGACGGACAGACGGACAGACGGACATGGCTAGATCGACTCGGCTAGTGATCCTGATCAAGAATATATATACTTTATGGGGTCGGAAACGCTTCCTTCTGCCTGTTACATACTTTCCGACGAATCTAGTATACCCTTTTACTCTACGAGTAACGGGTATAAAAACATATAGATTCATCACTAATTTTAGCAAATAAAATAAGTAATACAAAATGCATTTCAGTATTCAAAAACCCATCCATAAAATTGGATGAGTTATGCATGCAAGTGCAAGTTAATTACTATCTGATGCACTTTGTTTTTCAATTCTTTTACAATATGACATTTTAATTTTATTGGATTACTGACAGTTCGGAAAAAAAACTTATTTGTATGCATAATCTTAATGATTTCTTAAAGGGGACTGTTACTGGAAATGGTGCATTTCATTTCGATGCGATAGGCATTGTTTAATACGAAATATGGTGTGACTAAAATAATGATACTTTATAAATACATATATTTTCGAATTGTATTATATGAGTAATTAAAGAGCTGGTCTCGCTTTAAAACACTCCCCTTTCGAGTGTCATAATCATATTGATATGAAAACCTTCTGAAAAGCGATATACCCCTTTATATGAGGGGTACGATGATTAACAATCGGTAAACATTGGGCACATGGGGACTGTAAAGTACTCAAAAGCACTCGCAACAGATGCGTGAAAATCTCAAGGAATGGAAAATAGACAATCTAAACCTTCGAGTATGTGTTTTCGATTGTGGACTTGTCGCGATAAGGCCGGGCGATATGATAAGGCAACGCCCAACTGTTTGCGTAAAACTACCGTGACAAAGGCACCGACTGATGATCATCATCATATTATCAGAAACTGCAGTGCCAAGAAAGAGAAGGAGATAGACGAGTTGTTGTGCAAACAAAATACATTTGCATGCACTTACTTACACAGAAAGAACACATGATAAGAATAAATATATATTTATTTGGGACAAAAAGCTACTTTTTTTGTAAAAACTGATCAATTTACTTTTATTACGATTTTTATTAAGCGGCAGGATTTGAACCGGGGCTTAAGTTATTATAAGTTCTTATCAATTTTTACCTCGGTTTTCGATTTCATATAATATTTTTTCTGTGTACAGTGTACATATTTATTAAAACACACATACATAGCTCTGTATTAACTATTTAGTACACATACTTGACAGTGTGCGTAAGTGACACTTGTTTGATTAAGCAGGTCAGCACTGTGGGCCAACAAGAAGAGGAACGCGGAAAGGGGCTAAATGGTTATACAAACTGCGCAGCAGCAGCGGCGTAGGCGTGCACAGTGATACCAAATCATATATTTTCCCTAACTATATATATGTACGACCTTAAGGGGCCTGTCGTATTCGTCCGATTGTCTGAAACTGGGTCCATTAACCGCAAATCAATTCAATCAATGGAGGGAATCGCGGTTAGTCATTCACGTACCAAAACGTACCATATAAAAAATATTTTGTACTAAATATAGCTCTTGAACGTCCTCCCATCTTTAGAAATCAGTCACGAACTCCCCAACAAATGACCAAAATTCGCGTGCACAAAACTTAAACCGCAAAAAGCCGCTAATAAGCGCGGTACGTTTTATAAAACAAAACAACCAAAACCTTGGTCAGAACCGGCTAAAATGACGTAGACCACATATTAACACTAGGTTTACGCAAATATTCAAAAATGCACGAAAACATTTAACCTCTGGGCTACTGCAGCTTGTGGTTTTACATGTTTTGTAGGATTTTTAAGCCTTCCAAAAGTCACACTTTTAAACTCATGTCCACTTTGACTATGGAAAGTTTATCGATCAGCACTCAATTTTAGCACTCAAAAATTGATAAACTGCTTGGCAACGGAATTTCTTTTGATAAATGAGGCAAAATCGTGGCCTGCAGTCTAGACTGTGATTAGAGCACCTGATAAAGATATATCCAGTCAATCCTCTGGATGATCAGCCAGCAAATACATCCGTCAGATCACTACTGCTTTTCATCATATTTTTGGTATTAGCAATTTGTCGCTAATGAGAAAATCTTCCAAGAGTATTTTTCAAGCCCCCAGTTAATTAACATTTATTAAAAATTTTCAAACTAACGTTGAATGAATCATTTAGAAAATGGATGCATGTTAAAAAAGAGTGATATAGAGAAATGGGTCCCACTGTGCCTCATGTGAGAGCTGTAACCACTGTGGGAGCACTCGAGGGGCGGGTTCGGGTGGAAGGTGAAGCTTCAACAAAAGCACGAGACGCGAAAACACAACAAAAAACAATGCCATACATACGTGTTTATAAACAGGCACATACCACCTTACAATCGCGGGAACAACAATATCAACACAACACTTGAAAGATTACAGTTTTTCTGATATACTATACATAAGGTAAATGAATCAGAAAAAGTTGTCTACTTTAGCAAGAAAGTATTAATTTAATTGGTATTTTTTTTAATGTCTATCTTCCCCAAATTAGTAAAGATGACTTGTTTGTCAAACCTAAAACCGAATTAACCCACCTGAAACGCATATGACCTGCATCCTTTGTGTTTGTTTAAGGTCGAGTAGTAGGGGTCAACAAAAATATACGTAGGTTTGAGTAACCTTGGGTTTTTAAGAACATTTGTACCTTACAACCATTCCGAGCTAAAGGGTTGGTCATTTTTATTTATCTGAAGAATTCGCGGTTTTGTAGAACTTGTCTTTACATCTCCGTTGCCTTTTTAACATTTCCCATGATGATGCGAGTTCTTAACCTGAAGAATTACCCCAAATGGATCACAAGTTTAGTTTTACTTATCATAAGATTCTCAGAGAATGTCCTATTATTTCTCCCCGGACTGTATGCACACATCCACACGTAGACCCCGCAGCAGTAAATATAGGGGAGACCCGAAGTCGGCAGCAAAACAAGCCGAGGCACGATGGGTACAAAAATGCAGTAACTCTAGTGTTCGGCTTTCAGTTTCCTGAGAGACTTCCACCAGAGTACATCGAAATTCGGTGAAATTTTACTAAGAAAGAAAGAAAAACCACTGCATTGAGATACCTTGACTTGGTATATTCCACGCAAATGTGCATAAAAATACGCGTTATTTGAAAGACAAAACAAAGTGATTCAAACAGAGGGTTCATTGGACGCTTGAGAAAACCGAGAGACAAAGTGAAACGACCTCGCACAACGCGCGCAAACAGAGAGCAAAAAAAAAACACACCCACATCCCATCCCACTACTGATTGCTGCAACGCTCCATAAAAAGAAAAATACAAAAAGCTATATAGACATGGATGTTTGGGGATTCTGCGTTAGCGATTCCACGATGGCATATGGCGGGGCCATGCGCAGCGGATACTACCGGGATTACGAGCAGTTTCCCTACGGAACCCTGGAGTCCACAAATTCCCCACATGCGGTCAAGGATTGCTACAGTCGAGTGCAAGGTAATTTGAAGAGAATAGGGACCCAAAAAAGCGATAACCTATAGCTTTCCAAATGCACTGGGGGAAAAGTAGAGATAAAAGCAGAGCAAGTTTGTTGGTTGTATTTGTGAATTGCGTGTGTTGTTTGTTGTTTTTGCAAGAATTTATAAATAGCCAGCCTGATTTCTTGGCCCCATGTGTACATACATACATACATACATATGTATTTATGTGTGTGGCGGAACACGCCTTTATTTTTTGCGCACAAACACAGGGTGTCTAAAGTTTCTTGGCGCAACTCGCAACCCCCCTTACAATCTGTTTATATCGGCTTAAATCCACGTGCTGTAAGATATTGGCGCTTTATTGCATATAGCAGCTAAAATTCCACAAAGTTCAGTTGGAAATTTCCGGCATTTCAAAGTTAAAGCGTAATTAAGATAGGTACATAAAAGAGTATATCGTAGCTTGTGGAAAATCATAAAAGGCAACAAAAGACGTACATTGTGTGGCTATTTAAGAGGTGATTAAACTCCGCCTTATCGAGGTCAGTTAAGTCCATCAAGAGATACTCTGCATTCGACTGTTTTACGATAATGAACTAGACACACGCCAAAAGCTTGACTGTACTTCCAGAATTGGCTCACAAAAGTTGAGCAGGTGGTTGAACAATGGATTCTTTTTTGGGGAAGACAAATAAAGCAGGGCTTCATTGTGTTTGTGTGCCAAAATTAAAGCGTAATAACAAAACTGAGGTGTGCGAAAGGTAAACTTTTGTTTGTGTTTATATCCGTGTAGTATATGGACTAACTATGCACACTGCATTATCAGGTGCACTGAAATAAAAAATATGTATATTATTTAGGTCCAAAAAATAATCAAAAAACAGAAAATAAAGTCCACTCTTTTCAAAAGGTGAACAATTAGATAATTTCGGGTCATACATTAAGTATACATTTTTTATAGGGCTGAATCTATATTTAAATGAAAAGCATTTAGAAAAGAACTTCCCTTTTTCCAGTGCATACATTTATAGATTATGCAAGGTCGCTTATCAGGGGCTATGAATAGATTCTTTCCACATGGATCGGCTGGGCTTTAATCAATAATAACCGTTTAGCATTTAACATGGCCAATTGAGCAATCAAAGCAATAGTTTAATCAACAAAGGCAGGTCATCTAAGCATTCAGGAAGTCAAGAGCAACACAATTAAATTAATAAAAAGTAATTAAATTATTACATAAAAAGTATAGAATTTTAAAAATTAACATTATTATTAGATCACAGCTGCTTGTGTCACAGGGTCACATATCAAATAACGGGAAACACACGGGTAGGGGATCATACAGAGTGGCGACGTGACGTCGTGAACGCATGCCGAGTGTCGCTCACGTAGCCAAATCAGCTGTTTGGCGGCCCAGAAGGGCGTTCAAGTGGGCACGCACGTAGGCCAAAAAACAGAGGAAGCAAAAAAACACAGACGAGGCCAATCAAACAGCAAACAGTACCACCGACCTTCACTAACCGGTGACCTATCCCATCCTCTCGATTACAGAAAAATGCAAGCAGATAAAGTCCGAGAAGCAGATGCGCAAGGACTGTCCGTTCTGCAAGGAGCACAAGAAGCGGCCGCTCATCAACTACATGCGCAAGCGGGAGCAGCGGAAGCACCATGACAGCATCTGCGAGGACGAGGAGGACATGCACGAACATGAGCTGGAGCACGCCCACAATCACAGCCAATCCACCGTCCTTGCCGTCCAACAAAGCTGCAAGGTGTGAGAGGGAGCGGGACGACTCTACTGCAGACGATTCCCCACAGACAGTCGCGAAATGCCATATATTCAAATGTGACCAGAAGAAAGGAAAAACCTGAAAGAGTAACAACAACAAAAACAAAGGAAAACCAGAGGAGAAAAGAGAAAAAAAGCTGTTAAAGACGAAGATTGTGCGACAAAGAGGGAGCGAGACAGCATCGGCAGCTACAAAAATCGAAGGCAACTGTACCCATTATTTTTTGAGTGGTTGCCCCAGCATTTCCGCATCGCGAATACACTACCATTTACAAGAAGCCAGAACTTGAACTTGATACCAATTTACAATTTCCCTTACCGATTAGCTACCATTTCGTTTTTACACTAACTTCGCAGTTATCTACAACTATAAAGAGTAATTTGTTTACCAACACGATGAGAAAATCAAATAACGAGAACCTGCCCCGCTTGACCAACGCATTTTTTTGACCTTAGACAAGCTTACAAAAAAATGATATATGTATACAAACACATAACAAGGGAAGCAAAAATAGCAGAAAAACTAAATTTTCTATTTTGCGTACGAGACTGAGTATATTGCAGTAGAAAAATTAAAAGCAAGTTTACTTTTTTTTTCTATTTTGGACCCTTTTGGATTAGTTACAGGTATACCATTTAAACAAGAAGTTATGAAACATTAAGGAAAACAAAAATGCTTCATTGCGGTTGATAATTATTATTTTTTCGATATATGTGTAGCTATGTATACTTTGGACCCCCGATTTTTATTGTATCCTTGTCTATATTAGACATTCCCCTATATTTATTGTACTACCAACTGAGCATTGCACAGTCCGAGCAAGTGTCAAAATTAATCGTAATATTGCTATATATGTACAAGTTAAAAGTGTTTCAAAAGTTTATGCCAAGTTAAATTTTGTTAACACAACTTATAATTATAAAAAACAGAAAATATTATTAGGTTATGTGGTGTTCAGGCTCAACTGTGCAAATAGCAAGACGGAAATATTATAAAAACGATTTAAAATTTGCATTAGTTATTTAAGTAATTGATCAAAAGATGTATTGATTTGTGAAAAAATTTGCTTGCAGGTTCCAAGAAAATTTTCAATTTATACAATGTTATATATCGTATATATTATATATTAATGTTTAATTTAAATTATAAAAAATCAATAAAACTACAAATGAAAAAAAAATATTTACGAATTGTTCTTTTCTTTTAACAGATTGAAAAATGTGGATTGTTTAAGAAAAGTCACTATGATTTTTATCAGGAAAACTGCTTTGAACTAGCTAAAAGTGAAAGACACCTGTTCCCAGTACATTGTGGTGGGTCAGTTAAGACCACCGACTAAAACTGGTTCAGTTTTTCCCAAAAAATTTCTTAATTTTGTATGCAAATCTTTACGGAAATCTTTCCGTCTCGCACCAGTTTACTAATTGAAGTTAATCCGTCTATTGTAGACTAATCTCAAAATATTCCCCAAGTTGAATAAAAGAGAAATACAAAATTAAGTAAATACTTGATGGCTAAGGTCAGTTTCTAAACGATTACCCTGGGAACTTGGTCTGACCCAGAAAAAATCACCTCGAACCCAAATAAACTGGCCTGGAACTTGATCATGTGAAGAGGATATAGATGATTTCCTAGATCTTTCATTCCAACAATCAAAGTTTGTCCAAACATAACCTTAGTTAAATTAGTTCCCACTCAGCAAAATTGAATTGAATTAGAGCAATAAACATTTGACACGCTTGGATGAGATCAGCCTGTGCCTTAATCAAAATAAACTGCTCTTTCTCCTGGATTCCCGACGGGGTGATCAAATTGTGAATTGCCCCACACGCTATATTTACATATATGAACGAGTGTGCATCGGCATTTGCAATGGGGTGTACGGGGAAAGCGGGATTTGAGAAAAACAACTCATGGAGGGAAGCCATATATTCAGTTGTGTGTACAATGAATTCGATTCATTTTATATTCAATGTTAACCACTTGGCTCGGGGAGTAGAACTTGCCTGGAGGGTAAAAAAGCTAAGTATACTACTATTCGCTGGCTTAAATTACAATTGTAGTTATGCGGGAAACCTGAACCGAATTATCACCGTGTTAGATTATATAAATAGGTTACACAACTTGTACTAAACTTTCGCTTTCTCATATGTTTTTCTTGACAGTTTTTCCCAATTTATCTAATTTTCTTTTATTACTTTAATAGCACCTGCCTCAAAGAAAAAATCATCAGTTTTGTTTTGAAATATACTTCTACTCGCTGTCTTAAATAACTATTGTAGTTATGCGGGAAAGGTGATCCGAAACCACACGCTGTTTTCTTAGGTAAACTGCAAACGTGTTTAAAATTAAATAGGTTACACAACTTGTTCTAAACTTTCGCTTTCTCATACCTTTTTCTCTAGACAGTTCTCTTCACTTTATGTAAATTATTGTATTATTTAAGAAGCACCTGCCTGCAATGAAAAATCATGAGTTTTCTTAAATTAGCATCTGAAACAAGTGCAACACTTTTCTGACATTATTCATATTGTTACCGCTTTATATGCCTCATTATTTCGATACGGTGAATTAGCATTCATTTGTGAACTACAAACGTGGCTTGTTTAAAAAAGTACATTTGGCGACAGACCTCCGCCTGTTACTAATTATGAAAATAATACAATGACGTAATCACTGGTGGCACGCTTTTTGTATTAGACACGATTTGAATGCAATAAATCAAAAATTAAAATAATCAAATCGTGTGAACCGTGTACTCACTCCATTTGCATTCGATTCGATGTTTCTGGATTATATTTGGAATCCCACATCCACTCGCTATCTAAACAATGTTTGCGGCTAACCAAAGTGAGTTTGGGTTGATTATAAATTCACTGCGGTTTCTAGGGGCTTTGCACACGAACCAGTTAGTTTGGAATTTATTTAGAAAGCAGGCTTGGCGCTCAATACTTGCAGTTCCAAAGTTCCTCCAGTCATGTGAAGGTCATACACAGTTCAGAAATAATTAATACTAGAAAATTAAACGAGAAAAAAGTATATATTTAAAAAGTTCTGACTGCATTTTCAAAATGCTGAACCGTCTGTTAAAAAAACTAAGAACTCCCACAGGAGTCAAGTCGCAAGGTGATTATAATAGGCTTTTGAACTTTTTTTAACAAAATAAAATGATTAATCCAGTTGGCTAACGATCACGACCTTTCACAAAACGATTTAACAAAACAAAATAATTTAAATATAAGTGCCTTATTGTTTGTCCAATTTAATTATACCATGGGCTAGCCTTCTAATTACAGGTATAAGTTTATAGAGTGAGTACTACCTATTGAATCATACGATAATGAATTGTGCAAGAATTGTTGTTATGTCTTTATGGTACCCGGTGTCTGATTATGGGTACAAACAAAAACTCTTTCTAGTTTTAGTTCCCCATGTTATGTATAAATGTAAATTTCTTTTATAGCTTGAAGTTCCACGAGGTCTGAAATCGTATTATCTAATTTAAGCATTCAGACTAGAGATAAAAACAATTATAGAACTGGAAACGAGCGGGTTCTTAAATAAGTTGAGTAATGAAAGCTGGATTATATATCTTATAGCCTGTTATCAATAACTTTATTATTATTTACTAGGTGTTGTAAATTATCTAACTGTGTCTATAATCACTGATTAATGCGTAATGTTCTGAGTTTGTTTGAGTTACGTTATTAACGTGAACTGCATCTAAACACTTCTATCTACATAAATTATTCATATTGTGTATAAATTGTTATTAAATTGTTAAATTGCAGCTCTTAAGGATGGAAAAAAGTTGAGCAAGGGCAATTGCAAATGCGAACCTACGGCATGTAAATGTGGAAAACGGCGACAACGACAGCAACAATTGAAATTGTTGGTGTCACAACTTAGGAGACGCGATAACTTATCAAGTGTTATATTGTTTTAGTACCAGAGTACACCAGGAAAAATAAAAAAGAAAACACTGTCTGCAAAGTATTTTTAAATCGCTGGGGTGGCAAATAGGTGTACATAATACTTGTGTTTATTATGCAAAGATAGGAAAAGTACTTGAAAGATAGTCAGTTCCAGAAATGTTGGACGACAAGAAATGTATAATCACAATCACAGATGGCCTCAAACAAGGTCGCTTGAACTTGCATGTTTCTTTTTTTACTTAAAAAAGATCCTAAGGGCTTACTATTGACTTGTTTACAATATAACCGGGTTCGACGCCATTCTAGAAAATTCTTGTCTTTACCTTTTATGGCAAAGCCCATATATTAAGCTGAAACTTTTGAGGGATTCTCTGGGGCGTACTACAGTAACTAAAATTAAAGTGGCAAGACAATAAACAACACTTAGTGGAACGGGTTTCGGGAAAAAAGACAAGTGTTTGGACTTTGTAGTACATTCAGTCAAGAGCCTTTTACTCTGGCGCCCATTAATTACTCATAGAATATCGAGGAATGGTAATAAATTACGTCGTAAAATGTCAAGTGCACCTTTATTTAGACGCAGATACCTATTTTATATAAAACTGTTTATAATCTATTAACCGACCTTGTAATACATCAATAATAAAGATATTACAAAAGTGGTAAGGTTCGTGATTTTTCTTTGAGAGCAGTCGTTAACCAGAAGTACACACATAAGTGTGTACGTAGCATGTGATATACTATAGAAGGCATATCTAAATTCAAACAATGAGTTTAAATCGTGAGCAAATCGTGGTTTATGTAATGATAATTAATATAGAAAATATTTGAGTTGATTAGTGATTCAGTTCTATAATCTAGTCCCATGACTCTATTATAACAATTTAGTGATGATCAATCTTTAAAAGCTTCCAACTATGTAATCTTTGCTAAACAAGTTGTTTTGTTACTCAAATTGCAAAATTTCTTCAGGTTTTTTATTCTTTTATGTTCTTTCTTAATGTCTCATATCGAAAGATATATGTAAGAATCAACAAAGTGAATAAAGATTCTGCTATCTTTTTTAATAGCTTTCTTAAAATAAATTTCTGAGACGCCTACACGTGCCTTTAAATCAGGTCGTAAATTATATGAGCGAATAAAATAGATAAGCAAAAGTTGAAATTTTTATGATAAGAAACCAAGGATTTAATCACTCAATTGATTGTGGCGCGGGGAGGTCTTTGATTCAACTTTAAGACCCAGATAAAAAGTTTCAATATAAAAAATGATAAGGAAACAATAAATAAGAAACTGAGTCTTAGTTTTTATCTAAGTTCAAATGTAGAAATGACAAACAAATATTTTATCCTACAAAGGCGTGATAAGCTTAATCTTATCTCCTGCCTTCCCGTTTTTTCATACTTTTCACACAATTTGTATGTTTTTTTTATTTAAAGTAATTAGCATAAACCTTAATTGTGTTTAATTGGACGAGCAAACACAAACAAACATCTATCATAGGACCTGTCCAAATAAATGCAGACATCATAAAAGGCGAATTCGCGTGTCTGAAAAGACAGGGCGACGACATTCATCAAGAGATCAAATCTCTTTAGACAATGATCATTTAAACAAAGAGTTAGCGGAAACATAACGAGATCGACGGAAAAAAAAATTCGACAGTTCAGATTATGTAAATATTAGACTGTTTGAAACTACTGGGTACTTTCCATACAGGTCAACGTGTCGCATGCATTCCCAGTGCAGTTCTAGGTACTGATTGCTTTCCGGGTAATTACTGATTGTGAGGAGACCTCATTCCGTGGGCCATTGGCTAATCAAAGCGAAAGTGTTGATAACCGTCCCGCTGGAGGTGGCAAAACTACGAAAGTATCGTAGGGCTCTTAAAGACAGCAGAATCTAATAAACTAGCTTTTCCAAGAAAACTATTTTTATTAAATCTGAACAATTTGCTTTCCAAAAATGTTAAAATATATTCAAAATACATTTTATATATTAATCCCTGTGTTGCTTAACAGTTGGAAATTTTACCCAAGTACCTTTGGATTTAGTTAAAAACTTCGACAACGATATTTTCCTAAGAACAAGAAACAGTTATCATCAGTCTTAAGTAGACCAGTCCCCTGACCCAGTTGATAAGTATAAACGCAGTTAGAACCGAGTTGGCAACACTTACCCTTAGAAGCCAGGTAAGCACACTTTCGCGATAAGGAACGAAGGTGCTGGGTGTTCCAGATCCCAGGGGTCCATTCCCGCTGGCCTTCCGGGAATCGGCCAAGGCGGCGATGACTTTTCCCAGCGTAAGAAGGCTCTTATTGATGCTGACGCCTTCGCGGATCCTTTCGCCATTCGAACCCGAGACACTGATGCGCTCGCTGCCCGCCAAATCCACCAGACTGATCTTGCTGCGACGCGTCTGCCGGAGCGAGGATGTTGAGCCCGAGTCCGTATCGGAGGATAAGGCATCATCGCTGCTCAGATCGGTGAGGTTCAGGACGATATTGAAGATGGAATGCGAGCGTGAGCTCTTGTCGTTCATGGCTGTGGATGCGGTGGCTCGCTGGGAGTTGCCCACGGCCAACCAGTTGCGCAGTGCCGAGTACGAGTCCACCGAGTGGGCACTCAGATCCACAACATAGGGTCCAAAGATGGGGTGCTCTCTCACCTTAAGAGCAGGTCGCTGTTGCTGCTGGTGGTGCTGCTGCTGAACGGGAGTAGATTCCCCAGATGCAGCGGCTGCATGCTGGACACTCAGCAAATCGTGGATCTTCTCGTTGTAGATTTCAAAGTAGCTGACCTCCACCTCCACCTGCAGTTGCTGCGTCCTCTTCACAGCCTCTATGCGGCGGAACAGCTCGTGGCAGAAGCGTGGAATGATGCCCGCCTCGTCGTGTGGAGGCCCACCATCCAGAGCAGCATCGTCCAGCGCCTCAATACCCATCATGCTGTAGGATTTGCCCGATCCCGTCTGCCCGTAAGCAAACAGACAGGCATTGTAGCCCTCGAAGGCGGTGTCGATCAAAGGACGAGCCGTGCCCTCAAAGACCTTCGCCTGACAGGCGTAGTTCTTCCGCTCGGGATCGCAGGAGTAGTAGACCTGGTCGTAGCTAAAGAAGTGCGTCACCCCGGCCGAGGAGTCGGCACTGCTGCCTGCCTGGACGGTCAACTCGTTGCTGTTTCCATGCACCTGGACCACATTGGTGACCTGACCACGTGTGCACTCCAGGGCGTTGAGTGGACGCACTCGCACGGCCACAATCATGTTGCTCTCCTCGGAGACGCTGAGGCAGGAGTCCATCATGGAGTCCCGATCCTTGGGCCTGCTGCAGCTGGACTTCCCGGTTCCCGGAGTCTTTGTTCTCCCGGGTGTATTGTTGGCATTCCTGTAAAGCGATGAGGGCGTGTAGCAGGCATTTAGGGATGTGGGCTTGGGCGTCGGCTGCGGGGTGGTGTTTCCCCCATTGAAGGCCGTATTTAGCAGTTGATCCCGATGATCCTCTGACCGCGTCATCAGCACTTTCTTGCGCAGCCCGTTAATATCCGACGCCGGCGTCGATTTGTGCGAGCCTCGCGTCTGGAACTGCTGGATGCGCTGGCGCACAGGTGTGCTCTTGTTGCTCATCTTTTATTTGGCTAAGTCCGCCTTTTTGCTAAGTTTTATTAAATAGTTGCAAGAAGTTTCGAATTATTGCGCGGCGTCGTTTGTTGATTTTTTTTCTAGTGACGAACGTCGATCGATAACAAAGCAGGGTTGATTTTAGAGCGGGGTCCGAGATCTGGTCTGGCATCGCCACTAATAGTCAGGGATGGAAATCAATTATTTTTGAAAAGTGCTCTGGTAACGGTCACTTATAAATTATGTTGTGTGCATAAGTGTTTCCTTAAATTAATTTTCTGTAAGGTGGAGGTGGTATTGACAATCCACAATATGTTCCTATATACAATGGATATATGACAAAAAAGGAATGCAGTCATGAAGCAATGGTCTTCGTTAAATTGAACACAATGAGTGGTCATACATCCTTTTGCATCATTAAAGAGTTGTGTTTTTGAAAAGTTTGATATGACTTTGATCCTGACCGATATTTCCTAAGCCTCAGTAGTTGTTTGGTTATTTCTTAATGGTCTTTCTAGCTTATGTTATAACTAAATTAATATTTTTCGTTGTAAGTGATTCTCTAGTTGTTCTATTAGTAAAATTATTTTTCAAGTTAAGTCACTGAGAACAGTCAACATTATTCACCAACCCATGTCACTGTGAACAGTCACTATAAGTGCAAGCTTATCATCCCTGACCGATAGCACTTCTCTGTTATCGGGAACAGCTGTTGACGAGCAACGTAGACAAAGTAAATATTATTAAACAATTGGCTAGCAAATAAAGGTGAGCCCCCTTTCTATTTACTAGGTAAACAGGGATTAACATTTCATATATTGATTCCTTACAGCAAAAAGTAACAATTTAAAGCCCAGAAAAAACACGCAAATCAGCTGCATTAAGATCTGATTAAACAAGTTCAGAAGTAACTAGTTCCGAACGCGTTGTTTTTGTTGTGATTTAGCAGTCGGCGCATTTGTGGCTCAATTCCAATAATTTCCTTGTTCTCCCAATAACCAAATACCATATAAATAGGCCCGACTTGACAAACCTGCTGCATTCACTGTAAGAAAGTGCTAAGGCGTGCAGCTGACTAATCGCAGATATATAGTATAATCCACATATATTGGTATCATATAAATCGATTGTAAAATGTCGCAGCAACCTGTTGCCTTCCTGACTCGACGCGAAACTTTCAGCGCCTGTCATCGTCTTCATAGGTAATTAAATTGAATCAAATTGAATCTATTCAATTGCTTGATTCAATCACAGTTTGCAAACCAATTTAGTTCGTTCTATATTGATTCCCTTTGACTTTACTTGCAGTCCCCAATTGAGCGATGCCGAGAACCTGGAAGTCTTCGGAAAGTGCAATAATTTCCACGGCCACGGACACAACTATACAGGTGAAAAATACTCCCCCCTCCTTTAATAAGTACATTTAAATGCCTGATTACCCGCAAATTGGCAAATATATCATATAACCCAGGCTCAGTCGGGTATATCCCCCAGCATTATTGGTAATCCGAGACCGAAAAAGTTCCTAACCATAGCAAAACCTTGGCCGACAAGCTCGCCTATCAAAGCCATATTCAAGTTCAACGCTCATAGGTAATCGAATATGTGACTGCCAACCGAGATTTGATAGTGAATATTGCTCTAAGCGAGCATAATATGGCGCAAATATTCACTGATTAGAGATTAGGGTTATTTTATTAATTTTCTATAGGTTAAACCCAAAGAAACTAAGGTCCGACGTCTATTGTTTCGAATTTCTGGTATATGTGTGACCATATCATGATTAGGAACTGAAAATTTTAAGCGGTTCTTTCATTAAATATTGAAAAATCAACGTGAGGGCTGATATTTTTGAACTTGTTAAGAGTTTATGAAATTTAAGAACTAGAGGAAGGCTGTTATATAAGGTTGATAAATCACAATACAGATTTCAAAAGTGCAGAAGTACACATTATAAGAAAAGCGTTGGAAACTGAAAATAAATTTAAATTTCAATGCATATTATTATTAAAATATATTAAATGATTTTCATTTCTTTTCAGTGGAGATTACCGTTCGTGGTCCCATCGATCGGCGAACTGGAATGGTGCTTAACATCACGGAGCTAAAGGAGGCTATTGAGACGGTGATTATGAAGCGTCTGGATCACAAAAATCTTGACAAGGATGTCGAATACTTTGCCGATACAGTAACTTACCTGCAAAACAGACTCAAAATGGAAACTAATAAAAATATTTTCCCATAATCCCTTAGCCCAGTACCACAGAAAATTTGGCCGTCTACATTTGGGATAACATCCGTCTGCAGCTGAAGAAACCCGAACTGCTGTACGAGGTGAAGATCCATGAGACACCCAAGAATATTATAACCTACCGCGGTCCGTATCTGCTCAATGGAATATATAATCCCATTAACAAACGCATCGCTCTCGATTCCTGCACCAATATATCATCGGATTCGGATTAGAGAAACAGAATTTACATTCGAAACTTGTGACATTGCCTAACGAATTTTATTGGACCAATGCTCAGCGAACACTCACCCAACCTCCTTAACACACACACGCATAGAAAAAGACACTTACCATGTAAGGGAATGAAAAGTTATACGAATTACAAAGTTTGTAGAAGTAATGTATGTTTATGCAACATATTAATGAATAAATACAAAAGCAATTGAAATAATATTCTTTATTGGGGTAAAACAAAATAGGTTGAAATTAACGCAGTACATTTGTTGACATTTATTAAACTGGGTAAAGCATATTTTCTAACGTAACGCTCTAGATATGGCAGCTATATATTAAATATAGTATAGATAAGCTACATTTTAATCGGGTGTGTTGTATATTTAATTTAGGTGTTCCTCCTTCTGCAACACTAACTTATATCACGCTGTGTTTTGTCTTTGTTTGGAGAAGGCTCCCCACTCGGGGAACCTTTCTATCCGAAATCTTGCTTTAGTTCTTTCCGTGCTTGTAGTCGTAGTCCTGGACGTACAGGCTGCAGTAGACTAGCCAATCTTTTGAATCTGTGGGGATCAGCAAGGTAGCGGTTCGGATCATTTAAAGTTTTATCATACTTTGAGCAACGATCTACTTTGGTTAGTGTACTTTGGGGTTTAGTTGTGGTTAGTAATTACTACATGGCTTTTCAATTCAGAATTAGTAGGTGTTAGGTTGTAAGTATGCAAAGATTTGAGAGAACATTAACCACAAAACAAATAAAACATTCAGGTACTGACAACCTAGTTAAACATGTTTGTGTCTTTGGAAAAGCTTAGGAACTGTTTGTTCTGGAAGTCATGGGATGAATTAGTTCATAACATATCACAGTCTGATGGTAACAGATACTCATAGAACGGCTTAGAAGACTTTGATTGAACTTATTGGAAATACTAATTTTGGTATGGATTTCTTATCTTTTTGGGATATGTCTTTTTAGCTACAATGAGCGATCGTCCTTTTGAGGACTAAGAAAAGCTCTGCTGTTATTTGTTTTAGGCCTGAGTTTTCAGTTGCAACGAATCTTAATGCGTTAACAGACTTATCTCTTCAGACACAACGGCGAATCCAATTCGTTTGCTATATAAATATATCTATGGCTAATAAAATGTTTTAGCTATATATAAAATGTGTGCGCAACAATTACATTTCTGTAATTTTACAATAATTGTTTATGGTTGTAAAGCATTTACGATATTATCGCTTTGGTCATTTCTCTGCTCTCTGCTCTCTTCACTCCAGAATCGTCCTTAGATGGTGTTTCTCAGGGCCTTACCTGGATTCCTGATCGATATGAAGGGTATCCCGAATTCGAACTCGTTCTTCGGCCAGTACTTGAGAAGCGGCTGTCGCTGGGGCAGTTCCGATTCCACGTAGAAATAGGCAAACAGCACCAGCACTGTGTAAGCGGCTATGAAGATGAAAATGTGCCAGAAGCCGTGCAGGTACGGAAAATTGATCGCCGACCAGGCCTCGCAGAAAACCCGGTCATTAATCCAGCAGAAAACAGCCACGGCCCAGACTGTCGTCGATCGGATTCCGAGGCGGTAAACCCTCTGGTCTCTAACTCTGTATGGGATTATACAATAAAAATATATCAGAAATATGACTAATAATAATAATAGTTCCTAGTAAATAAGACAATTCCAAACAATTACGATTGTAAAATTGAAGGGATGGTATTTGCAAATATATGGGACCGTAAAAATAAATTATCCTACAACAATAATGATAAAAAAAATGTAAATTTAAACTTTGAGCAGCACTATTTGTATAATTTTAAGTAATAAAAAAAAATTGTGAACATACCCATACAAAGCATAATACCAAAAAAAAAATTTTCAAATATTAAATAAAAATATTACAATTAAGTTTTCTAGACGGTATAAAAAAGGTATACCAATAGTAACCTATTGCTTCAAAGTAAACCATTTTAAGTTTTGAAGGGATTTAAAACCCACTCTTACTTTTACTTACAGTTAAAGTAAACTAGGTGTTGCTAATGCAATTATCAACCGAAACTTTTGAGTCAAAAATGAAAATTTTTCAACTAGTGGTAATCATGAATCGGATGTTTAAGGTGCTTCAAGCCCTTTTCGTTGTAATATTTCTAGGCTTTTGGAATAAAAACAATGCTGATGGAAATCAAAAGTACTATGTAAACAGTCCGGCTTGCCAGATGCCTGCCGTCAATCCCTTTACCTGGGATACTATGAGAAATTTCCATAAAAAGAAGATGAGACACTGCCACAACGACAGCGATATGGTTACAAGTGAATTCGATTTTGAGACACATCAGTACCGATTGCACATACACGAGCACCTGGCCAAACCTATTCTTAAAACAAAGAGGAAGGCCACCATTAAGTGCGAGTACAGGGAAATATCACGAGATAATTTTGTCAAGAAACCAGACAACACCTACAAGTAAGTGCAAAAGTTATACGAGACTTTAAGTCCCAAAGAAGTAGAAAAATGTGCTTCAGCAGGAAAAGTTCAGGAGTTAAACGTTTTCTATTCCCACTCACATACCAAAAATCATTATACCATTATTTCTTATATTATTATTTTATCAATAACATAAATTTGGTCGCTTCTAGGGAGCTCCGAGTACGAACATTTAAGAACCACCAGATTGTTCCGAAAAATACGAACTTTATGATCACCAAATGCTATGTTAAGGACGCGAAGAATCATCAACAGTTGCTGCAAAAGGATGCCATTTCGTTCATTGAAGACCGCCTACCAAAGAAAAGGGTTAAGGACTTTGTGAAGCAACAAAGTGTGGACCCCAAACCGAGTGTCTTTATAATGGGACTGGACTCCACATCGCGAATAAATCTTCGGCGAGCGATGCCATCGGTTTTCAAATTCGTTAGTAAACCCGGATGGTTCGAAATGCAAGGCTACAATAAAGTGGGCGACAATACCTTTCCCAATCTTCTGGCCTTGCTTACCGGGGATTCTGAAGAAGGAGTAAAGCATTTCTGTGACGTTAAGAAGCCGGGCTGTCTGGACTCTCTAAACTTTATTTGGAAGCGTTTCAAACACGCCAACTATACAACAGCCTTTGCCGAGGATTGTCAAGCTATAAGTACTTTTAACTATCTAAAACCGGGTTTTATAAAGCAGCCAACCGATTACTATCTGCGTCCCCTACTTTTGGCGATCGAAAAACAGTTTAAGGTGACCAATGACTATGGATATCCCTACTGTGTGGGTCGTCATCTCAGCTTCAGCTATGTCTGGGACTTTGGCCAGCAGTTCATCGATCGTTTTCTTGGCAGATCTCCGATGTTTGGAATGATCTGGAGCAATAGCTTCACGCACGATCACTTTGAGGGAGCCACAGCTTTGGAAAATCTGTTCTTGAAGTATCTAAAGTCCTTCGAGGAGTCGAATCTCTTTGGGAAATCGATAGTGATTTTGATGAGTGATCATGGCCATCGATACAATACTTTGAGACTGGCATCTACTGGGTATTATGAGGAGCGAATGCCCATGATGTTTATCTATTTACCGCTCTGGTTCCGACGCAAATATCCCCATCTAGCGAAGAATCTCAAGACGAATCAGAATCGACTGTCCTCCAATTACGATATGTACATGACTCTGCTGCATTTGCTCCATTTGGATAAAAAATCGGTGGCTGATTTTCCAGATAATCTCAAGGCAAGGCAGTGTAAGAGTTGTCAATCGCTATTTCTTGAACTGCCCTTCAACCGTACTTGCCAAATGGCCGGAATTCAGGAGAAATGGTGCTGTTGTCAGCCCACCGAAACCGTCACAAATGCTCATTATGTGCAAGATATAGCCAAGGCAATTGTGCAGCAAATGAATGATCATTTAATTAGCCATGATCTCAGCGACCTTTGCCATGATTTTACCTTGGAAAGTGTTGAAAAAGCAGACCGCAAAACCATCCTATCTTCTGGTTTTAAGCCAGCTGATAAAGACGAGCATGTTTACATAATATCGTTTAAAACCGTTCCGAAAAACCCCTTTTTCGAGGCCACTGTGCGTTGGAATAGTCGCACTCAGAAGCTTAAGTATATAAATGTGGAGGATCTAAGTCGGCTGAGTTCGTACAAAAACGACGCCAATTGCATAAATCAAAAGAATGCCAAAAAATACTGCATTTGTAAGGACAGTTTAGATAAGCCTAGTGAAGATTAACGTAATATGTATCACAGAATGTTAAAATATATTAAACTTCTGAAATAAAAAGTTTATTTTTTGTCGCCTAATTTATTTTCATGTTAATGTTGTGAATTGAAAAACTAGAAAAAGTAATTAAAGTCTATTGTCAAAGCATAGTGAACTGAAATTTCTCACAGTTATAACCCAGTTACGTCAAACATTACTGAACTGACAGTTATAAATCCCCAGGGGAGTATTCAGTGAAACATTAGCTTCCTAAAGCAATATAAACAATAAACCCTTGAGTGAAGTAAAATTATAGTGGGTCTGCTTCAGGCTTATCATAATTACGCACTTGAATTGAGTGATATGATTGATTGATGAACCGACACTTTTCCCCAGAACATCTGTCCTTGGTGCAGGGAAACACCTTTTTGTTTCGATCTTTGACCTAGACGGCATGTTCCGAATCGAATATGACAAAAAATAAAATTGAGTAAATATGTGCTGATAAGGTTGAAATAGTTTCACAATCTATTCGACTAGCAGCTCAGTTCAGCTTAGTTCACTTGTTCCTAACGATAAAACACAGACGCATAAACGATATGATAACAAGGATGAGTGATGATAGATACATGATTTATGAATTGTTTAATTTCGGGTCACCAGGCGGGAAATCATAACTTTTTACTTATCAATAAGGAACTCAGATTTACGAGTTATGGAGTCGGTAGGGAAGACTTACCTCTGTAGTTCCGTGTAGAGCATTACCATGGTCGGAATACTCATGAACATGAGAACAAAGGCATTAACAATGGGCTTCCACCACGACAAGCCTGTTGCGGCTATCGCCGACATTAACATGAGACAACTGAAGGTTTTGCTAAAAACAAAGAATACCGAAAGTCGGGGATTTAGATAGGGGTGCAGGCCATGATATCATTTTACTTACCGATCGTTTTTCACAAACTTGGGATAATAGCGCTTTGGATAGAATAAAGAAAAGGCCGCCATAAAGACCCACAGAATGGCCAGTTCATCGAGGAGTTGGCCAATTAAGCTCAGAGTGGCATGGAAATACATCGAACTTAGGCCAACAACAATGAGCAACACCCAGATCACATGTATTCCAGGTGTTACAAAGCGTCCGTATTCCTTGAACAGCATTATAAGCACGGGCGGGAGGAGGATGAACAAAATATTGCTGAACTGAAAGGAGAAATATAGTTAATATAATTAGTAGCATTAGTATTAAGATTAAACTAATCTCGGCAGTTCGACAACCCAAAGGGCTATATAGAATCCATATCTAAGCTCTATTATTTTAGGCAATCATATTTATCTACTAACATTTCCTTATTTTTGAGAATTTTATTGTAATAAATCATCAAGTTGTATCTTCTTTCTGTATATCTGTTTACTTTATTATATATGCGTTGGCATTATTAATATTTAATAATGTTGGGCCTCCCTTCGTTTACGTGTCACTTAGACAATTTGCACTCTGTCACGTTAATTTCTGAGCAAATTCAATTACCTGCAATTATTTTGTATGGGCAACAAAGCGAGAAGGGGAGCAATTATCACATCTAAAGTGTGGATGGAGAAATGTTTATATGTTCGTATTATATTAAGGCAATTGATAACGAAATGGGTTAGGCCACCATTATTCATATTTCCCATGTAAGATATCTACGACTGAGTATAGTCATATAATATAAAGCAAAGTCCCGCTTTGATTTCATCACTAATGCCGCTTTTTTATTGTGCAGCGGAGTGTCAAGATCGGAGGTCATTCACTCCATTTGTACAACCATTTGTTGAGCAAACTCAAATGAAACAAAGCCGAAATGCGTTTTAAACGACTTGCACTTTATTGGCCCGCAAACGATTACTCATGACACCGAAACCAATTAAGAGGTGACCATTTTATTGTTGTTAGCAAGCGGAAGTGTATCACCAATCATTTCAATTGCTGTTCTACATAATTATGTAAGGTTTTTGTATTCCCCATTGACCCAATATTCAAGAAACGAACGATAATGCGTTTCATTTCAAACACACAAACGAAAGATTATGACGACATTATATTGCTAATGGAGTGGGTAGGGGTTTGATAACCTTTCGGTCTTTAGAGTAAGAGGCTGGAAACTTTTAGTGAAGAATAGAAATATTAAACTATGTTTATCTTTTCTAGACCAAAAGAACAGGTCAACCAAGACCTAAACAGCTTCGTCATTGTTTTGATCTAGTTTTACCATAGTTGTTTGTTTACTGAAACTGCGTTTTAACGGTAAACATCGGGCGATTATTATTGATAAGACATAATGAAAGTGAATCCGTCACATATCAAGTTACGTTTGCTAGAATGCTTATTTTAATCAGAATTGTAATCAATAGTTGACTTTTCCGTACGTGTTTAATGTTTATTCTGGGTGTAGTACCATTTTCTAAGTTATTTTATGTCTGAATCAATAATACAAATCTACACATAAACTTAAAACCTATTATTATATTCTTCTTTCCTTATCAATCAAATCAAAAATTAATATATAAACTATAATATTAATTAACCCAGGTAATAGAAATAATTTTAGATTAAATACTGAACAACAATTTAAAGTTTTGGAGGTTTGCCAAGAGTCTGGGTTTTACATTCTGAAGGTTAGGCGTTTGTTTTGTCTATTTCTGCCCATATACCAAGTTTCATATCGATCGGAAGGGTGTGTGAGCCACAACAGGCGTTAATTGCGATAAGAAAACTGCATTTTCCGGGTGTCGCACTGCGAAAATGCTCTAGATCTCCTTCTCGCTCTCGCAAACGAAGCGTGGCAAGCAGCATCTTTTGTTTACACTTACATTCTCGCTCTGAAAAGGTCAAGGCCTCACATATAAGGAAAATTCGCAGCTGCCTCTGTGCGAGTGGCAGAAACAACAAAAAGCAATCTAACTAAAAAATAAATTGCACATACGCACCGTGTTCACGAACTCTGCGATATTGGATGAAATCAAGTAGTTGCCCTCGCACCAATCGACGGGTGAACTTCCGGGTCTCAGGTGCTCCCAGGCCATGGCGTAGATGTCCAGCAACCCACCGCCCCCCATCCCGCCCACTTTGCCACCCGCACTATGGAGAACCGAAAACAAAGATCACAGTCACAGCTGAAGCTGATTTACAAGGGATTTTTCGTTCTGGCAAGGCACTTTTTGCATTGGTTTTTTTTCACCTTATTTTCTTTTGTTGCAATTTTAGGCCAGCTGCAATGCCTCACTTTGCATAATAGCGGTGCAGTGTGTGCATGCACTTGCGTGTCTTTGTTAATTGCTTTCCGTCCCGTTGTTAAATTAAAGTTGAAATTATTCTTCGGTTACGCAAGGAAACAATTGGTTTTTATGGGGTAGGCAAAGAATCTAGGACTGCGGAGACGCACAAGGAAGTGCACTATTTTAAAAAATAAACCACAGCGCGCAACGAACGACGCGATAATAATAAACAACAATAACAACTAGGGATGTAAGAAATGTAACAAAATATCAATATATCGTTATTTCTTGAATAAAAATAAATATTTATATCGTGATATTTTTTCCTCTCAAATAATGAGTACCGTTATTTTAATAAAATATATTTTTGTTGTTTTGGAAATGATGTGCAAAATTAACAAAATACTTTTCATACATTTCAGTACCATAATTCTTGTTTCTTGTGTTTTTAAAAGGACAAATAGTCTAAACATTTCACCAAAATTCCTTTTTTCATTTGTAGTTTACAAATATCAATTAGGGTATTCACCTGTTCTGGTAGGTGTAGCAAATGGCAACTGTATCAAATGTGGAAAACTGTTAGGCTATGCACCCCTGAAACCCTCTGAAGTTAAAACTGTGGCAGAAAATCGAACAAGGATTTGTCAAACATCTGGAAAGCATTAAAATTTGTTGATATAAAAAATTATTCAAATTCATAATGTAAAAAATGTTAGAAATTCTCAATGTATCGGTTATTTCCGGATGGTAAATATTTTGTCCCGCCAAATCCAGGACACCCCATCTGTGTGAATAGGGTATTATTTAAAAAGTATGGTCTTGAACCTAGGTAGAGTTCTGTGCTTTATGGAATTTAATGGCTTAACCATCTGGCAACGCCGTGAAACACGCTCCTTTTCTTCCGCCTTTGCCGCTTGTCCAAATCAAATCCCTTGAGTTCCCGGATTTCTTGACCCAAACACCATGTTCCCGCAACGCAGCTCGGAGCTCTACCGCACTCCGGAGACCCACCAACCGCCACCGGCTCTGGAGCTGGCCGGCAATCTGGAGTACCCGAATCTCAACGTTGCCGATCTGAATGCGCGCCTCGAGAATCTGTCGCCGCGACTGCACGACTGCTGGGACAGTATCGCCATCAATGAGCAGCAACACTTCGCGCTGGCCACCAACCGGCGTGAGGGAAGCCACTGGTGGGGCATGTTCTTCGGCTATGGACACAGCCAGTTAAACCACATGACCGTGGACAGCGCCGACTTCAAGCTGCAGGCCGAGCACACGGTGAACATTGTGCGCTACGCCGAGAACGATGTGTTGCTGGTGGCTCTGGGCGATACACGCCTCCAAGCCTGGTCCACTTACTCCAAGGTGCGCAATCCGCAGTCGCCCTACTGCCTCTTTCTCGTGGGCGAATCCCACGCCCATTCAACGCCCATCAGCCAGCTGAGCGTCTTCAAGGCGGATCGACAAAGAGCCGTCTCGGGCTCACCGGATGGCACCCTGAATGTATGTAAAAAGTGTATTAGAATTATGGTGTAAGATAGTCAACATATTGACTAAACAACTGACTTCCTCTTACAGGTCTGGGATCTTTCGGGCATCGATCTGGTGAGCTCCTATCATTCGCGAGCCGCGCACACCGATAAGATGACCGCCCTGGCCACGCCCTCGGCTTCGGCCGACAAGTTTGTGACCTGTGATCGCGGCGGATGTGCCCGCATCTGGGATGTCCGCGCAGCGGCTCCATCTTCCACGTGCCTCTACGCAGACTCCTCACATTTGCTGAGCTTTACGAGCGCCGCCTGGGCCGCTCCAAATGAGCTGCATGGTGATAATTACGTTTATATTGGGGACTACGATGGCCAGGTTCATACTCTTGACATCCGAGTGCCAAGGAAACTGGCGGAAACCCGGCAATATTTCGACAAGGGACATGTCTCGCAACTTCTGATCAATGGGTAAGAGATTGGATTGCTTGTGTGTTTAGTCATAATAAATAACATTAATATTTTTAGACCCTACCTGGCGGCCATGAGCAACTTGCCCGCCTCCGTGAAAGTGGCCAATGCGCAGACGGATTATGAGTTCATCTACACGCACCAGGACACCCATACCCGCCTCACGGATGCTGTTTGGAGCGATGGTAGCACCCTCATCACCATCGGGCATGGCCGCAAGATGGTTACACATTCGATCAAGTAAACTCGATGGAGATTCTGCAATGTTCTTACGTTTTTTTGCATTTACTTTTTAGTGACGTTAAGTACCTTTAATATTTACTATGCTTGGCCTGACTGACTTATAAATCGTTTTTTTGTAACGTGTATAAGTAGATGTAAAATGACTACTAAAAGAATTGTATTGTCAACCATCTTGTCGTTGAAATACAAATGTAAATAAGCTGTTCTTATATCAAACCATTTTTTGTAAATATTGATAGAATACAGACTTTTTGAACAGCAATAAAAGAGGCATAAACAATATTGGTTTTATTCCCAAAAAAGAGCATGTACAAAGTATATTACTTAAACAAATTCAGTTGCTTTATTTCAAAAAGCTTAATGGTTCGTTGAAGAGTCAAATAAAGTTCTTATATATAGCACTTTTAGTTTCTTAACAATTACTGGTAATATATCGTAATTATATTCCAACGGAATGGCTGAATTCAGGGCGATAAGAAGCTTAAAATAATTGTGAATGCAAAGGCCCAGTAATAAATGCAGTTTAACAGGACTATTCGGGCTTGGGTGATGAAACTTACACTAGACAACACGTAAAAATAAACAACCGCAAAAAATACATTTTTTTTGCCAATACACTCGGGTGCTGCGGTGTCGGCGATTTGGGGAAAAATGTTGTCGCTTAATTTTTCCAGAAAATTAAAACCTTTTCACGCCTCGACCCCTAGGCAGAATTAACGATAGAAATTAAGAAAAGGGAGCTAGCGTCGTGATCGCTTGGTGGGCGGTTCGAGAAAGTTGTTCTCCTCCTCGATCTCCATGCCATCGAGCTTCATCAGCCTCTTTGCCTTCTGCAGCATTTGCGTATCCCGCAGCCAGCTGCACTGCAGGACGTCATCGATTGAGGGTCTCTTTTCGGGATCCACAATGAGCATTTGGTTGATCAGCAGCTTGGCGCGTTGCGAGACACCCTTCCATGCAGGGTGTCCGTAAGCGAACCTGCCCTTCTTTATTTGCTGGGCCGCCGGTGTTCCGTACTCGTCTGAAAAGGGCAGCGTGCCACTCAGACTGCAACAAATAATTGTAATATTATATCATTTGTGTAGTGGTAGTTAAAATTTCCCTACCAAGTGAAGAGCACCACTCCCAGGCTCCAGATGTCTACTTTTCTAGTGTAGGCCTCTCGGCCGCCGGTTATCAGAACCTCAGGGGCCACATAGAGTGGAGTGCCACACAGTGTCCGCATCACCGAGTCCTTCTGGACGAACTTGCTCAGCCCGAAATCGGAGACTTTCAGCAGAGTCTCCTCGTCGTTGGTCTCTAGCAAGACATTGTCTGGCTTCAGGTCGCGATGGGTGATGCCTAAAATTTCAAAAATGTATTGTTTGGTGATTTTGACATCAAACTTAAGCTATTTGCAATATATCAATTTAATTGCTTTATGTTAATGTGAGATTATAACATAAATTTTCAATTTCCCTTAAGTAACTTTATTTACAGGACTACTACATCAGCGTCATCAAAGCTATCTATTTCAAAGTAAGGGCCTAATCAAAAAAAAATGTCACGGATTAGATAATTTTTTGAAAATAAAAAGAAACAGCTATAAACAGAGTAATTGAAAATACTTTTACCTCGATCGTGTAGGTACTTGACGGCATGGCACATTTGGTAAAAGTATAGCTTTGATATTTCCTCGCTCAGTAGCTTGTTGCTGATAATCCGGTTGAGTAAGTCACCACCCCGCATAAACTCCAGCACCATATAGACGGAGTCCGGTTTGTCCACGATGTCGTGCATGCGAACCACGCACGGATGGGTAAGATTCTTCATAATCTTAGCCTCGTTTAGGACCCTATCGGGATCACTGAAATTTGTGCTGGGTCGCGCACTGCCAGACAGCATGTTTTTCTTCACGATTTTCATCGCAAACTGCTGGCAGGTGCGGGTGTCATAGACCAGACGCACCAATCCATACGCCCCTGAGCCCAGTTTGCGATTTACATAATACGTTTTGTTAATCTCCTCGGGAAGGCCAATAGCCTCATTCGGGCTGAGATCCTTGAATACAAAGGCTACAAGGGAGGCAGGTGCAAAACATCGAATTACTTGCAAATCTCCGCAGGTATTTGTACCTGTTTTGTGCATCGCTTACCTTTATAAGTGGGGTGGGACAGGGAAATTACATCGTCGTTCTTCAAGATTCTCTTCCTGTTTGTTCCAATTTTTTCATTATTCACAAACGTCCCGTTGCGTGAGAGATCCTGAGAAATGGGTGAAAACAAAGGTTGTACATTTTAGGGATTTCCCTTCATGAAAACATTTTAAAAGACAGTTCCCACCCCCAAAAATATCGAAACTGTTGAATATTAAATGTTAAATATTAAAAAAATGGTTGTTTTACTCGACGTATATGTTTGCAAGAAAAAAAAAACGCAAGTGAGTACTCACTTCTCGGTATTATACAGAATTCCAATTTTAATAGGATCGATTTTGGGTATAATGGATTTCTATTGGATTTTCAAGATTTATAGTTTTACTCAAGTGTGGAGTTCCATTTGGTGATATGATTTTTAAACGTAACTTTTTTTGTTCGGAATTTTTATAATTTTGATTAAAAGAGAACATTGTCTAATCGTAGGTTAATTTGATTTCAGTTTTTAAGACTGGCTTTTATATTACATTTCTGAAGGTAATGGTATCAGAAATCCCAACAGCTGAAGCCGCGTAGCTTAAAAATTTCTATAACATATGTACATATAATGCCCTAATTTTTGAGGAAGGGGATCTGAAAAGCTAGTCAAATGTGAGGTCCTACGTGTATGTAAACTGGATTGGAGAGCTCGCAATTTGCCCGCTTGATGATAAAATGCACTTTGGAAATGCGTGTCAGGATTTTCTCGGGCAAATCGTTGAGCGTGAGGATCAAATCGTTGGCCTCCCCTCGTCCAGCGCTGAACTCGTCATTGTTGAGATCTGAAATCCATTGGAGGTACGGATACCATTACTATACATAGTAGACAGCAAGTTAAGACACAAAACAGGCAGCAAATTTGG